AGTGAGTGGGATCATTAATGGAATCTCTCTTGCTGTCCCTCTCTGCTCTCTCACTCTCTCCACTACACAGCTCCTAGGGTAACTGAAATGTGAGCCTTGGTTTCCCCAAGTGCAACATGGGCATGTGAGTCCCAGTCCCTACAGAGCTGGTTACAATAAAGAAGTGATTAAAATACCCAGCAGTGACCCAGCACTTTAGCTACTATCATTATCCAACTACTAGTTAACTACCTCATTAATATGGTTATTTTCTTAACTTATTTTTCACTGAAAAAGTGACACCAGTTCACAGAAGACATCAACTAAATCAGATATGCCTTATTTATTGTTTTTAAAAAGACTCAAAACAAATATTCTATATTCTTAACATTTCTAATGGGCTTTAATTATGTAATGAATGCTTGAGTCATTCAAATCCAACCTGACAAAAGGGTATATCATGAAAAGTGAGGCTCTTTCCTACCTGTTTGAAAAAGATTCCATGGCCTTTTATTTTATTTTTAATTATCTTGATTACTTTGAACTTCATCCAGTCTGGTCACTGCTACAAATGACCATCCTCACAGTGTCTCCTATATTTGATTCTAGCAATTTCCCTCCCAAGTGTGTTTTCACGTGTCTGCCCATGCAAAGGACAGCCAGCCCCATCTGTTGTTTGCCTTTTTTTTTTTTAAACTTTGTCTTGTGGGAGGGCTCTTCCCACATCAACACATCCCTCTTGCTCCTTCCCTAACTGCACCATAGTGTGCCATTCTTTTTTTTTTTTTTTTTAAGATTGTATTTATTTACTTTTAGAGAGGGGGAAGGGAGGGAGAAAGAGAGGAAGAGAAACATCGATGTGTGAGAGATACACACATCAGTTGCCTCTCACAGGCCCCCATCTGGGGACCTGGCCAGCAACCCAGGCACTCGCCCCAACCGGGAACTGAACCAGTGACCTTTCTGTTTGTAGGCTGGTGCTCAATCCAGTACACCAGCCAGGGCTGGCGTGCCATTGTTTATCTAGATGAATTGCAGAAGAGAAGAGGTTTTAGACTTAAAGCCATGGCTCTCTTACTGCACATGCTTTTCTGTACGTTTGTCATGGTTCAGGAAGTAGAAATGCAACTTGCATAAAAGTAGATGAATGGAAAGTCAGTCTGCTCTACCCTGAGCCCCCACGCCCCAGCCCCAGGTGCCTCAGCCAAAGGTCACAACTGCCCACCCCTGCTCTCCGTTTCATGGATCCCTTTCAGAGATGTCTCATGCATACGCCCAGCCACTTTTATGTCTGTCTGTCTGTCTATCTATTTATCTATCTATCTCCTTTTTGGATTGTGATTACTGTAAATAGCTGCATATGAAATTCATCTCCCCAAATTGCTCCAGCTCAGAACACAAAGGGCCTCCTCATGCATTTTATGGTCTCTCCAAACTGTGGGTGGACATTTGGGCTGTTTATGCTCTTTTGCCTAGAAACCTGTCAGGCTGCTATGTCTTATTATACTCATGATGCTTAGAAGGTCCAGGTTGATCGTCTAATGGTTGGTTAGGGCTCATGGCCTTAATTTTATTTTTGGGTCTCTTGATTACCTTGAACTTCATCTATGTAGTAGGTAGTCTAGTCTTGTGCCATGGACTTTGGAACCAGACCACGTGGCTTTGTATCTCGATTCTGTTACTTATGAGTTTTGTGACCATTGGCAAATCACTTAACTTCTCTGTGTTTCCTTGAGCATGTTACTAACCTCTCCGTTACTAACCTCGGTCTTCTCATCCATTAAAAGGGGGTTGATGATGCTGATAGCACCTGTATCATGGGATTGATAGGAGGACTCAATGAGTTAAAAAAAAAAAGTAACATTTTCTTAGAACACTTCCCAGTATGCGATACATGTTATTCTCAGACATACACAGGGATGTGATGAAGCTGTTCTTTGCAAGAAAAGCTCCCCAAACACTTGCTGAAGACTCCTAGATTGGCTTGACCCTTGCTGAGACAGGCCAGGACCCCTGCCTGCTGAGATAGCCTGCTTGGGGACAGAGTCACTTTGCAAATACTGGGATGTGTGTTGGAGGAGGGAAGTGTCTGACTTTGAGATACTGAGGCCTGGGGCTCAGAGTGGAGCTGGAAGGGAGGATGGGGTGGGCAGCAGAGAGCGGGTAGTGTCGGGGGTGGGAGCCCTATGCCACACTCTGCCCGCCAGGCTCCTGCTGACACCTAGTGGAAAGATGGAATTAACCTCCTTTTCATCCAAGGTACCTCTGGGTGCACAGCCTCCACCAGAACATCTCACTGACCTTATGAGCCCGGACACAGTGTCCATCTTTGGGCTACCATGAATCATGCTGCTGTGAATATCTATGGGCAAGTTTTTGTGTGGATGTATGGCTTTTATTTTCTTGGGTAGATCCCTAGGAAGGACTTGCTGGGTCAGATGGTCATTCTATACTTAAACCTTTTGAGGGATTGCCAGGCTCTTTTCTACCTCAGCTGCACCACCCTTCACTCCCACCAGCCATGCATGAGGGTTCCAGTTCTTCCACATCCTCGCCAAAACTTGTTATTGTCTGTCTTCTTGATTATAGTGATGCTGGTGGGAGTAAAGTGGTAAGTCTGGTCCATATTAGGTCCTAAATGTCCCTCAGAACAGCCCCCTTGCTGCTGGCACCAGCTTGAATTGATGCCCTTGTCTCTTCCCCACCTCTTCCAAGTTCACAAAATCGATGGTCAGTAAATACTTGTTCAATGAACAAATGGATGGATGGACAGTTGGAATATTACGTAGCTGTCAAAAGTAATGTTACAGAAGAATGTGCAATGAGGAAGGAAGTTATGGTCAGCAGGATAATGCCATCTCCCCAAGTCCACATCTTGATCTGCAGAACCTGTGACTGTGCTCCCTTAAATGGCAAAAGGAACTATGCAGGTGGGGTTAAATTAAGGACATTGAGATAGAGGCAATTATTTTGCACTGTCCAGGTGGGCCTCATGTAGTCACCGGGGTCCTATAAGACAAAGACAAGAGAGTCAAAATCAAAGAATGAGAGTGACAGCGGAACCAGAAGTCAGAGTGGTGCAGGGGTACAAGCCAAGGGGTGCAGGGGCCTCTAGAATCTGGGAAAGGCACGGAAAGGGGCTTTCCCCTAGAGCCTCCAGAAGAAGCCAGCCTTGCCCGCACTGGGACTTTACCCCCTAAGACCAATTTTTGGATGTCTGACCTCCAGAACTGTAAGATAATCACGATGTGTGGTTTTTTTCCAGGCAGTGCTTGTGGTAACTTGTTACAGTAGCTATAGGAAACTAATACAGAAGTATTAGTATTTGAGGTCTGTCCGAAAAAATTCCAGCCATTGTTAATATATGAGAATGGTTTGCCAGACACCCCTGGCAGTCAAGCAGTGTGGACTGGAATGCGCATGCGTGAACAATGACAACTTCACTGTACTAGTGCGGGGGGAGGGGCGGCAGTAGACACACTGAGTGAGCATGTGTACTGTGTGGTGGACACATTCAAAATGAGCAAGTAGAGCAACAAATCTGCATCAAATTTTGTGTCAAGCTTGAACATTCCTCTGCAGAAACTATTTGGATGGTTCAGAAGGCCACAGCTCTGGACAACTGGTGGCTGGCAGCTTCATCACTACAGCGCTCCAGCTCATGCATCACCTCTGGCGCAGAGGTTTTTGGTGAAACATCAAACCACCCAGGTGACTTAGACCTGTTACAGCTCAGATTTGGCACCCTGTAACTTATGGCTTTTCCCAAAATTAAAATCACCCTTGAAAGGGAAGAGATTTCACACCTTCGATAAAATTGAGGAAAATATGATGGGACAGCTGATGGCAATTGGGAGAACTGTGTGAGGTGCCAAGGTGCCTACTTTGAAGGGGACTGAGGCTTCATTGTCCAACGTACAATGTTTGTGTCTTGTATGTTCTTCAGTAAATGTCTTTATTTTTCACATTGCATGGCTGGATACGTTCTGGACAGACACAGCTAATGAAACACTGGTTTCAGCATGGGTTTGTTAGCAATTTTTTTAAATTGTTTCAATAGGAAGTGTTTTAACGGTAAAGTAATAAATATATGTGTTTACTGGATGTTTTCCTCCTTCCAGCAGCCACTACATCAAACAGAGTGATGAGTATATAGGAAAGGCGGTAATCACCAAGGTGGCAACCAAATGATACAGTATTCTTTTTGGGAACTCCAAACGTAACAATTTTTTATAACAGTGTCTGTGCATAGTAATTACAAAGAATCCACACTCCGCAAGTTTCTGTAGTGGAGCGGTTTTCACGTTTGCCTCACACGCGAAAGGCCTCCGGTTCGACCCCGGGCGGAAACCGTAGACTGTCTTTTTCCCCCCTGCGCCCCCCGGCCTTTATTACAGCATTTTGAAATTTACTTCAAAGTAACTGTAATGGAAATTCTAGTTCAGTGATTTTTTTTCCTCAGGCCTGCTGTCTTTTTAGAAATTATTATAAAGTTAAAATTTTTTTCAGTAATTTAAATTCTACGTTGATTATTTTGCTACGAAGCTTTAGGACAGTCAAAAGGAGACAGGAGAAGAAAAAGCCTGACAGCCTGCGTTGGCCGGGAATCGAACCCGGGTCAACTGCTTGGAAGGCAGCTATGCTAACCACTATACCACCAACGCCGTGCCGGCCGGGGTTTTTCCCTGGCGCCCTTAGAGACAGACTCAGCGCACTGGCTGGGCGATACCAAACTCCGCAGGGATGTCTCCCCCTGCCGTCCCTGCGCGCACCCGGAGACACCGCCCAAGGGATGTTCCCCGCCCGTGTCCACGAGGGCCGAGCCCGCACGTCCCCCCCAGCGCGCGGACGCCTTGGTGCTGGCCGGGTGGTGGCCAATCCCAGGCCGCCGCCTGGGCCGCTCGACTTCCGGGTCAAAGGGGCCTGAGCCTCCCGAGTCCCCCGTGTCCGCCGCCTCCGCTGTCCCCCGTGCTCGCCACTTCCGGGGCCGCAGTCCTGGGCATGGAGCCGCGATCCTGAGGCGCCTCCGGCCCCGGGACGTCCTGGCCAGCCCGGCCGCCGCCCCGCGCCAGCCCCGAGCCCTGGTGAGCAGCGCCTGCGGGCCCCGTCCCGCCTCGGCCGCGACCCCGAGCCCGCCGCTGACCCGCCCGGGCGCCCTCCGCCCCCGCCTGCTACCCCCCGGCCCCGCCTGGACCGCACTCGGGTGCCCCGGCCGCCGTGTCGATTTCCTCTCCAGCGCGGCCCCTCCGCACCGCTGCCTCCGCCCCCGCCCCTTCTCTGCCCGGGCCACCTCTCAGTCTCTCCCTGTCCCGGCCTCGCCCGCACCCATCCCGTCGCTGCCCGAGCCACCGGGCTCTGGCCCCTGCTGGGGGCGGCCGCACCCAAGGGCGCCCTCCTCTCCTTGCAGGCTCTGGAGGTCCCCGCCTTCTCCAACTGCCCCTGCAAATGTGTGGGGCTGAGGCCATCTCCCTGACCCGCGAGCTTCCTCCTTCCAGCCTTTGGCCTCCCTCCTTCCACATCCCCGCAGGGTCCAGCCCCTTTTCTCAGCTTCCCCCGACCCGCCCGCAGACCTGTCCAGCCGCCCACCTTCTTCCTAAGCGTCTCAGACCGGCCTTAACACTTCCCGACATCGATGCTGCGGCCGAGCCATCATCCTCGGGAGCAGCCCCTTCCCTTTGCCACTACCCCTGTCAACCCTCCCATCCCCCGCCGTAAGGAAGTCCCTTGCCTCAGCGGAAAGAACCAGCCTGCTTTCCAGGAGCTGGGACTAAAGCCCAGATGTGCCCTGTGGTCACCAGCCCCTGTCTTCCCTGGCCATGCCCTGGGGGAATGGGCCCCGGGAGGACTTTCCTCCTAGGTGTGGTTCAGGACAGACAGGCTGCACCGCAGGACTGGGAGGCGTGGCTAGAAACGGCCAGGTAGACGGAATGAGGCACACAGCCGGGACTCCCCGGTGGAGGGAGAGCGACTGGTTAGCCGGTCCCTTCACTAACCCACCACATTATTGACACATTCACTCTGTCAAGGTCTTGTGTCCCACACCTGCAGCCAAAATGGAGGCTTTCTCGACTCCCTAGAAGGTCAGTCGGGCGGAGGCGGGGCAGCCAGGGAGGCTGAGTGTGGGCTGGTGGGATTCCTTTGCCGGCTCCAGGACACAGAAGTTGGCAGGAAATGCTGTCTACAACCCTGGGGTCACTGCCCGTAGGGACAGCTGGCTGGGACCCAGGCCAGTAGCAGCAGCTTTGTGTGCTCCTGCTGAAGACTTTCCTTTCCATCCAGCATTCCCCTCCAGCTGCCCTGGTATGAACCCCCTGAAAGACCGGGGGTGAAAAAGGGGAGGCTGCTGATTCTGGCTGGGTTTGGTGGAGGTGTGGCTGCACCCTCTCACACCTACAACGGCGCCTGGCATTCGGTCAGTGAACAGGGTGGATTCTGGCTCTGAAAGGGACTTTAGTCCCATTCTCCCTTTGGTATAATTTTAAATAACTTGCTTAGTCAACAATATTAGCTGTCATGTAGTTTCTGCTATGTCAGGCACTTTACTTGTGCGATCTCATTTAATCCTAACAGCAGTCCTACTGCAGGCCCATTTTATAGCTGGGGAAATTGAGGCACAGAGAAGTTAAGTGACTTCCCCAAGGTCATAAAGCCAGGAAGTGGCAGAGCCAGTATTTGGACCCATGTCTCTCTGACGCCAGAGCCCACTCTTTTCACCATGGCACTGAGAGTGAAGCCAGGGCTTCTTTATGGTGACATGTTGCTTCACCTCTTCATGTGATCTCTGTCCTGCTTTCTTTTTCTTTAAGCATCTGGGACCTAGCTTGTTAAGAAGGTGGTCTGGTGCTGACGAAGCCAGAGGTCCCTTTGACTTTAGATAGTGTTCGTGAGGACAGGGACAAGTTCGCTCAACCTCAAATGTTAATTGAATGCTTCCTATGTGCTAGGCTCGGGTCTGGGTTGGGGTACAGCCGGGACAGGACAGATGTGGGCCTGCCCTGGTAGGGCTGGTGTCCCAGTGAGGGGTGCCCACTCACCCCAGGGGTGCCAGAAGCGGCTTCAGAACTAGTGATATTTGGGGCCAGGCCATTCTTTGTGGGATGGGGGGAGGGTGCCATCCTGTGCTTTGCGGGATTGGGCCTTCACCAACCCATTGGCTAGTAGCATGCCTTCTCGTTGTGACAACTGAAAATGTCCCCTGGGGCCAGAATCAGCCCTGATTGAGACCCCCTGGGTTAGGAGATTCCGCTGACCACCAGGAGACACTGCGTTTTACAGCCATTTGACTTACTGAGGTCCTAGGATGCTGCATACTTAAATACGGGACTGAGTGGGGAGCGAGAGAGGAGGTGGCTCACAGGCACTGGGGGCCATTCTGGTTTATACCGTCTGACCGTCAGAGATTTATGTTGGTGTCTGTTGTGATCCTGAGGATCAAACTCAATTTTTTCCCCAAGTAACGAATGCAGAGTTTTCCCCTCGACGCTGCTGACTTTGGGACCACATCATTCTTTGTCATGGGGGACTTTGTCCGGGGCACTGTCGGGTGTTGAGCATCATCTGTGACCTTCACCCATTTGATACCAGTAGCAACCCGGCCCCCATCAGTGGTGACAACCAAAAATGGCCCTCAGGGAGGCGGAACCGCCCCCATCGAGAGCCCCTGACCTACAGTGAGTTCCATGCAGAAAGCCGGTGTTGTGACGGGGGTGATGAGGTAGCAACTTAGGATTAGATGCCAGGAAAGACCTCTGAAGGGGTGACATTGGGACCCAAAGGCTGAAAGGAGGCAGGTCATACAAAAAGCCAGGGAAGGGTGTCCCAGGCAGAGGGACTGACAAATGCAAAGGCCCTGGAGTGGGAATGAGCAGTGTCTTTAGGGAAGAGGAAGGCCAGTGTGCTGGGCAGAGAGGGCAAGGGCAGGGAGAAGGTGGGGTCAGGAAGGCCATCAGGGAACAGTCACAACTGGGACTTTGGTTTTATTCCATTTCTGGCAAGTGTCTGTAGGTGGCATCCTCAGAGTCATTTGATACTCCCATCTTCTCAGGGACTTCTCACCTTGGGAGAACTGCTCGACAAAAAGATGCTAGTTTCTGGCAAATGCCAGGTGTCCTCTCAGGTTTCATGGCAGGGCCTGAGCCATCTGCCTCATCAGAGTGCCCTTGGCCTTGCGTATTCCCTGTAGGCATGGAGGGCTGCCTGGGAAAGGGGAGAGGGGACAAGGCGGGTGAGAGCTTGCACCCCTGCATTTGCTGCTGGGAGGTGCAGCCCTGTGGTCTCTCCCGTTGCAGGCTGTCCCACCCTCCTGATCGGCCGAGTGGTTAATGCGGACGGTTAAGAAGCTACGCCTGGACAACGTGAACACAGGAAATTGGAGAAGGTGAGGGGCACGACCTAGGGAGCCGTGACTGCGGGGAATGTTGCACAGTCTTAGGTCTGGGAAGATCCCTTTGCTTCCCCACACCCATTTCTACATTTCTGCATTTCCCTAAGGTGAAGTTCTGGCTATTTTGCGTGAGGAGGCAGTGTGGGCTAGTGCAGGGGTTCTCAGCCCTGGCATTGCTGGCGTTGGGGCCGGATCGCTCTCTGTGCGGCCGTCCTGGGCACTGCACAGTGTTGAGGAGCATCCCTGGCCCCCACCCAGTTGATGTCAGGAGCCATCCCCAGTCATGAAAACCGCACGTGTGCCCAGAGATCACCCAGTGTCCCCTGGGGACGGGATTAGCCCTAGCTGAGCACTGCTAGCCTGGTGGTTAGGACTTGAGTTTTGAGTCCAACACACTTGGGCTCCCTTCCCTCCTGGGGTGACATTGGTTGGGCCATTTAACTTCTCTGAGCCCACATTCCAGTCTCCCAGATGGAGCTGACCCTGGAACTCAGCGCCCAAGTTACAGTGAGGATTAAAGGTAATCACACAAACAAGATTCATGCATTTGGCAAATTCCAAGTCTGGGGCCTGACGTGAATTGAAGAGACCATAAGAATTCCTAGACCAAGCTGACCTATGTCACTGTCAGTTTTCTCACTATCTCGGCCTTACTTACTTTGAGCAAGCGCAAGCGATTGGGGAGTCAGGAAGAGAATCAAAGATGATTCTGGAAGACAAACATGATGCTAAACATGGTGATCGTTCCCAAGACGGAAGCTCTGAGAACGTGCAGTCCCCATGTCTGATGGGCGAGTGTCTCAGGGGCTCAGTTACTGATGGGAGCCCATGTCTCTCCTGGGTGGGCACAGGCTGGGCTGCAAACTCTCTATGTAAGGCTGGCTATAAAAGCTGGAGGCCCCAGTGGTGCCAGAGCAGCATGCACAGGGAGGAGCATGGCCTGCTGTTTCCTAGGAGCCCCCAGCTGCAGGGACACAGCAGGTGTTCTGAAGGGCCCTCCCTCGAGAGCATGGGCTCTCCGTTCCTCACCTCCACTTGCCTGGCACCCAGCCAGTGACCACCTTCCTTCCTGTCTTGTCATTCTGTGGTTGGCCTGAATGCTCCCAGACCTGTAGCCAAGCTGAGAATCCGCAGCTCCTTCTTGCTTTCTGCCTGCTTCCCTCATCACAGGCCCCCCTTGGCGGATGCCCCAGAGGGTGGTGGCCCCAGCTTTTGGAGCACCAGCTCAGACAGAGATCACAACTCCCATCAGGCCTTGACAGTGACTGGACGGGGAGGTCCTACACTGTGTGCTGCTGGCGTCACGAGCTGTGAGGTTGCCCTACCGACTGGCAGAAGGAAAGTGTAGGTGGACCTGGCCTAAGAGGCCTGCAGTCTGCTCTCATTTCCCAGCTGGGTAAACTCTTGACTGAAGAAGCCGAGGGTAGGCCGGCACTGAGTGGGAAGGGCTGCGCAGGCTGCTTCACCGGGGCGTCTCGTCCCCTGTCCCCTTTCCGCGGCCTCTCCCTGCAGCCAGGGCTTTGCCTCTGTGGAGGAGAGAAGAGAGTGGAAGACCAGCCACCAAGCCTTAGCCCGTCTGGGAGCTCATGCTGTCCCACTGCATCTAGAAGAGTCTTAGAAGTTTCTCGCGATGTTTCATTTTATTTCTCATCTCCTGGATCGCGTTTTTGCTCCTTGGGCTCTCTGTAGTGATTGGAGGCAAGATCATTTTTATCACTCTTTGCTGTGGAAATAAGCCGTGTGATTTTGTGAGTGCTTTCCCTAGGCTCTTGGCTTCTGGGGTCCCCTTTGGGAGCCCTGGGGTCACGATCTATTTTTCTGCTATGAGCAAGGCTTGTGTTGTGGTGGCAGAGTTTGGGAGGGTTGGGAAGTTCTGTTTTCTGGGGTTTTGCCGGCAGTGTTTGGGGCCGTGTAGGCTCTGGAGTGCTCAGCCGCCCGCCGCGCAGGACACGCCAGCTCCTTGCACACGCCCAAGCTCCGGCAGGGGTAGGGAGGACTGAGCAAGGGGAGGCATTTCTCCTCCCATCTGTTACGGAAATGAGTTAGAAAGAGAACTTGGAAAATCAGTCTGCGGTGGAAGCTCAAAAGCCATGGGTACTCCTCGTGTCTCTTTTTCCCCGTCTTTCAAAGCAGGCAGGGTCCTTGGTCCTCTGGTGGTTACTCTGTGGGATCTGCTACTGGCAGGGGTCAAAGCTCTCTGGGAATCAGAGGTCACCTGGGTGAAGGGAGGCTGGACAGAGACCTGCCTGTTACTTCTCTACCGTTGGCCTGTGCGGTTCTGGCCATGAGTGCAGCAGTAGCTTCCAGTCCCACTCTGACAAGTGAATGCAGACTTCAGCCTGCAAAGCTGCTAATCCCAGAGCACGCGCTCCCAGCATCCAGCAAGGCCTTCTACCCTTTGGTGCCTGCAGAGGAAAGCAGGGCAGCCTGCTCTCTTTGGCTGGCCCCATGCGATGACCTTGGCTCTCCCACAACCGGATCACCATGGCTGTGTTTAGACTTCCCTAAAACAAATATTTGCCTGGCCAGTCCAGTCTGGTAAGAAATGTGCTCAGAAGTGAGTGTTGGAGAGGGGAGGTGGGAGTCCTTGCGCAGCTGCAGCTGCTCCCGAAGCGGGGTGGCCTCCGAGGGGGCGAGTGCGCCGTGCTCTTACCCAGAGGTCTCGAGTTCCCAGGGAACATCCACTCTTCTAAGTGCCTCCAGTGAGGCGCATGTTTACCCTGCTGGACAGCAAGCTGACGGCACAGGGGACAAGGTCTAGTGACGAATTCTCTGTGCTCAGGCTTCTGTGCGTGGGCGAGTGTGTCTTCCGTGGCTCTCTGTGAAATGCCCACTGAGCCAGGACTCCACGAGAGGTTCTGGGGATGCAGCCCTGGGGACACGGCTGTGAAGAGGACAAACATGGAGGAGACGGGCGCTCGACAGACAGCCATTGTGATGAATTCCCTGAGGGTGGGGCAACCGGATGCCATGTGGAGGGTTAACGGAGAGCCGGCTTTGGTGGGGATCATCGTAGAGAGTTTCGAAGGACCTGACAGATGTTTAAGCTGAGATCTGATCAGAAGTTAGTTGAGCAATGAGAGGGGGGAAAAACTGTTCCAGGCAAAAGGGACAGCATGAGCAAAGGCCCTGAAGAGGGAAGGGGTCTGGCCGTCAGAGAAGCCGCGGAAAGGCCGGCTTGCCCGGGTGTAGTGATGACAGGGAATGAGGCTGGGGAGCCTGGCAGAGGTCAGAGTGTCAAAGGCCATGGTGAGGACTGGTTTTCACTGTCGGGAAAACCAAGGAAGGGTTTGAGTTGGTAGACGGTAGGCATCGTCAGCTGAGAGGCGACGGAGGCCTGGATTTCAGCAGTCATGGTGTTGGAGAGAGGAGTAACAATGGAGGAAATAGAGGCAGGGAGGGAGCACGGCGTGGGGCTCAGCTGGGGAAATCAGTGTCTGATGAGGAGGCAGCTTGTGCGTGGAACTCATGTACCACTCTCCTCCTCATTTTCTTCCCACATGTTCCTTCCTCCTCACAGCTTCTCGCTGAATTCCGAGGGGGCAGAGAGGATGGCCACCAGGGCACCGACGTCCGACCAGGGCGACACGGTTGAGATGGAGGACCCAGCATCCCGCTTCCAGGTGCAGAAGCACTCGTGGGAAGGGCTCCGGAACATCATCCACGGCAGCCGCAAGAACTCGGGCCTGATCGTCAACAAGGCTCCTCATGACTTCCAGTTCGTGCAGAAGACGGACGAGTCAAGTCCCCACTCCCACCGCCTTTACTACCTAGGTAAGCCCTCCAGTGTCCCCTTGGGCCCTCTGGGCTCCAGCAGACCGTCTAGGCTCCCACAAGCCCTCCAGGATCTTTTGGGCCCAGCAGGCTGCCCTTGTGCAGAACAGTGTTTCTGAGATGGCAATTACTAAATCCTCTAGTTTCCAGAGGTCCACCGGTCCTCTTAGGAGGTCCAAATAGATGGGCATGGTCCCGAGCAAATGGTCATGCCTCATGCCACCCACAGTGACATCTGTTTACAATGAAGGTCTGGCCCAAGGGTCCTCGAGAGCATCAGATGATCAGGTGAGGGGCGCAGAGGGCAGTGCTGCCCATCTGTGATGCGCGGTGCTGTGGTTTGGGCCTGATACATGGGCCTGGGCCACTGAGATTGTTTCCAGTATCAGTCAGTTGAGCCTACCCCCGGGCTGGGTTGGGCTGGGAAGCTACGGGACGCCCTCAGCAGTGAGAGTCACAAGTAGAGAGTCACAGTAGTCTCTGCCTGTGGAGAGAAGTGTTAAGAAGGATCCTGTGGCTCGTAGAAAGCTGCCGCAATTGCATAATGGTGTACCTGGTAGACTAACAACAAAGGGTGACCTGCCACATTTTTGCTGTGCCTGCCCTAGATACCTGGATAAACAATAACTAATTGCTTTCTCCTCCTGGCGTGTGCCTCTGCAGCAGCACTTGCCACACATTTGTGGTTTACAGTTCATGTTCCCTGCTGGGCCATGTGAAAACCTTCCGGGCAGGGCATAGGCCTTGTACACCGTGGCCTCCTGCATTTGTAACCTCAGCAGCCAAGCCATGACCTGGCTCCCGGCAGGTGGACAGTCAGTATCTGCTGAGCAAATGAATGTTGCCCTGCTTATCTAAAGGTCCCATAGAATAGATAGGAAAAGTTCCAAGCATATTTGAAAGCAGTGTGACATATGATTATTGACCCAAGGCAGGTTTTCTTTCTTAGCACTCAACTTCTGGGGCCCAGGATCAGTCTCTCAGTATCCTCGGCCCCTGGGACTGCACCTGTTCCCGGTCATGCCCTCAGTCACTATTGGAGTGAACTATGGAAGGAAGGAATGAAGTTTATTCGGCCTGAGGCTAACCTCATGCTAATGATTGTGACTGTGACCAAGATGGACACCAGGTGGCTCTCCCCACAGTCGATGCAGACCCTCCTCTTAAACACCCACCTGAAAACTGGATGGTGGCTTGGCACGCATAGAATCAGAAAGAGGAATGGTCAAGGATGGGGGTCGTCAAGCAACAACCGACTGATGTAGGAAATTGAGTTTTACTCACAACCAGCATGCCCGCTTGTTTATTTCTGTCTATGGCTGCTTTTGAGTATAGTTACATCAGAGATCATATGGCCTACAAAGCTGAAAATATTTACTATCTGACCCTTTACAGAAAATAGTTTGCCAGCTCTAGTTTAGGAGATGTTAGGGCTGAATGTACTTCACGCTTCACTTAGCCAAGGAGGAGCTGGGCTGTTAGGACTGAAAGTAGCCAAGACTCATACGCTGGTGGGCTGCTGCCTCCCTGTTTTCCTGGTTTTGTGCCTCCCTCCCCCCACTGAACTCCTTTTTCCCGCTTTCTTTGACTACTCACTCACTCAAGTTCAGATTTCTATCCTGTTCAAGGTACTTGTGTAAGTTTCCTAGAGTTGCTACTCCACCAAATCTCTGTCCGTTAGGTGGCTTTAAACAACCAAAATTTATCCTCTCACAGTTCAGTATTCTCACCAGAAGTCTGAAGTCAGCTTCTCTGGGCTGAAACCAAGGTGTGGGCAGGGCTGCGCTGTGCTTCCTGCGGAGGCTCTAAGGGAGAAACCATTTCTGGCCTCTTTAGCTTCCAGTGGCTGCTGGCATTGCTTGGCTTGCAGCTACATCCCTGTGGTCTTTGCCTTTGTGCTCACATCACTTCTGGATCTGAAATCTCTCTCTGCCTGCCTCTTAGGAGGCATGATTACCTGGAGGGCCTGTCTAGATAATCCATGCTAATCTCCCCAGTTTAAGAGCCTCAACTTAATCCCATCTGCAAAATCCCTTTTGCTACAGGTTACATATTCACAGGTTCTGGGGATTAGGATGTGGACATTTTTGGGAGCCATTGTTCAGCTGGCTACAGAGCTGCTAAAATGGGCAGAAATTCCCTAAGTTCCTTTGAGCCACCAAGTGTACTTCGTAGTAAGGTCACAGGGCATCTCAGGGAGCCCCTCGCCTGGACCTTATGATATGACACCCCAAGCCTTGTGGAGCCTAGGCAGCTGCCCTGTGTATATTCTCCATGGGTCCACCTTTGTTGCCCTCCTGCCTTCTGCTCATGGGGTTGCTTGTCTAGGGATCTACCCACCAGCAGAAATGGGTGAGCTTTTTCCAAATTCCTGGGAGAAAGAATCAGATCGGCTTCACATAGGTCAGATGTCCACTTGTCCAGTCGGCTATAGCCTAGTGTGTGTGTGTGTGTGTGTGTGTGTGTGTGTGTGTGTGTGTGTGTGTCTGCGGCTGGGGTAGGCAGTCACCCCAAGTCCACAGGAGGCTCTGAGGGCCCACTCCAGAGGATAGGGATGGCTCCAGACCAGGGCTCTGGACCTGGCAAAGACCCCGATGTATGCCTAGAACAGTTGAGATCTGTGATGCTGCTTTGGGAGGGTGACATTCCTCACCCTTGAGCTGATTCAGCCTGCATCACTCAACACCCTCAGGGTACCTGGACTTGACTTTATGTCCAAGTTGCTGGGTCAGCCTCTTCTGGAGTTCCCGTGTATTTATAATATGGCTTTGCACCAGCCCAGCACCTAGGCGAATGCTGGCAGCCAGCAGCTTTGTGAATAGAATAGAAGGGGCCTCCAAGGGCGATGCCTAGCCTGCCGCTTTAAGCGCCACCTGCCACCCGCTCCCCCTGGGACCCCGCCTCCTCAGTGGGCACGAGGCTTTGCCGTTTGGGGCACGTGGAGCCAGTCACCAGGTCCTCAGTGGAGGCTCTTGCCGATGCACCTGATGAAGCCCAGTGCACTCGAGATGGAGCACAGAAGGGACTTCGCCGGCCACTGCTGCCAGGAAGATGGGATGGCAGTGGCTCAGGTTGCACGGCTCAAACTGCAGCGTCAGGAAAGCTGCTCCTTCTGGCTCTCCTGCTTCTCCTGCCTATGGGCATCTCATGTTGCACAGGGAGGGCGCAGGGCCCCAGACAGCTTTGGGGGCCCCTTAGATGGGAAATGCAAGATCGCTGTGTCCTTGTGTCCTATGTCCAGATCCAGGCTCCCATGCGCCCACCGCACCAGTCACCCAAGCCACAGCGCATGGGGTGGAGATGGTGCTTGTGTTGGAGATAGGGGCGCTGTCCTTAAAGATGGGGCAGATGTGGAACGGGAAGGCAGAAATCAGCAGTAGTCGTCGGTCACCTCAGACCCCTGCCTTACATGCTGATCATCACCATCACAGGGAATGTGCTAGCTTAGGCTGTTTGGTGTCTTCTCTTACTAATCAGCTGGGTAGGGAGGCAGCCCCAATGTCCTTGGCAAGGGCACACCCTTGACTTCCCATTTGGAAAGCTCCAGCTGTCCCAGAGAGCCCTGCAGACAGAGGCTGTCCAGAGCACACGCATGGGCAGCATGGCCGGGCGGTGTCATGTCTGTGCCTCCAGCTGGGAATGGGACACATCGAAGCTGCCGAAAGGGCCCTTAGAAGTTGAATTTTGAGTGTTTCCCACCTGTACCTCTGGGCTAACTTTGCATGCTCCTTAAATCCACTTTAAAAGGAACCCTTAATAGCCTAATAATTTTCTTTAAATATGCCCTTATTTTGCAAACTGTACAAGCAACTTAATCATAAGTGGAAAATCCATGTCACTTGCCATTTCGAAAAGCTACCTATAAAAAGAGCGGAAAGCGGAACAGGTGTTACTTATTAAGCTCTAGCTCCAGAGGGGCCTGGCGGGGGGCCGGCTTGTTCTCCCGGTAATGGAAGCGTGAGTGCGAGTGAGGGGGTGCGGAGAAGAGGCCAGATCTGGCAGCGCCAGGTTGGGGTTCCTCCTGGGAAAACTCAGGTTGAAAGGGGATCAGAGAGGGGCTCGGCTCTCCTGACCGATTGTTAGCTCACGGCGCATGCCTGGGCCACCAAAGAATATCGTGTCTGGGGGGGTCCCACACTGGGTGAGTGCTGCCCTGGTGTCCCCCACCTCATTGCACAGAGTGGCGGAACCCAAGACTTAGCAGAGAGAGTTGTACTGCTCTACCGTTAACTTTACTAATAACAGTTTTACTGTTGTCCATCCAAAGACACTACCAGTTAGATCCGCAATTATTTTGCCACTAAGAATAGGACAGCACCTGTGACATAAGACACGTCTCGATTTCAGAGATGTGAGAATGTGAAAAATTGCAACTTACTGGAATTACACTGCTATCTGTGAGTGACGTATCCTGGGCATTGTGCTAAGTGCTTCGTTTTTCATACCTCCCTTAATCCACATTGAATCCTCACCGGGCAGCTGCTCTCATTTTATAGGTCAGGTTAGATCAGTGGTTCTGTCAGGGAGGTTCTGCCCTTCCAGGGGACACTACACAACATCTGGGCACGTCTGTGGTCATCACGACAGGGGGTGCTTCTGGCATCGAGTGGGTGGGGCCAGGGATGCTGCTCAACATGCCACAGTGACCAGGACGTCCCCCATAGAGGATGACAAGGCCCCAGTGTCACCAGTGCCAAGGGGAAGAAACCCTTGATTAGATGTATATTTGCTCTAATCCTAGATTAATTCATGGCCTTTATAAAAGCCTTTTTTTACCTAATTTAATCTTTTTTTTTTTTTTTTAGTCCCCTTTTACCTCCCTCCCCCCAGCAATCACCACACTGTTGTCCATGCCCATGAGTCCTTTTTCCTTTGCTAAAGCCTTTTAATAAAGGACTTGGAAGGCTGGAGCCTCGCCTGTTGAGTGAGATCTGGGTACCCTGACCACCCTCTTTTTGTTCATTTGTGTGCTGTTTTTTCAGTAACTTAGACCAAGATATTCAGCACAAACACCTCAGTGATGGAAGACGCTGTACTACTGCTGACATGCTTAAACCCGGGGTTGTAGCCCATCTGGGGAGGGGTGTGCAGCCAGGATACGCTTGCAGGATGACGTAGAAGCAGAAGGAACCAGCTGAGCCCTGCCTTGGGGAGCCTGGGGCTGGCCCCCACCCTGTCCTGGACCAGGTCACCCATTCTGGTTTTTCCCTCTTTCCCCAAGGGATGCCTTATGGAAGCCGAGAGAACTCCCTCCTCTACTCTGAGATTCCCAGGAAGGTCCGGAAGGAAGCCCTGCTGCTCCTGTCCTGGAAGCAGATGCTGGACCACTTCCAGGTGAGCAGTGCCTGCCGAGTTCTGCCTGTGGGCGAGGGAGGTGGGCACAGGCCATGTCATCAGGCTGTACGCCATTTCCGCAGGCCCTCAGCTCCCAAGGGGCCTAGGCCGCCACACAGTTCACACACACCCTGCAGAGAGGAGCTGCTGGCTCCCCGCAGCCCTCCCGCCACCCGCAGTCTGTGCGCCAGCCCCCGAGTCTAGGCTTCCGATGAGGATGCTCATCGAGACATCCTTCCTGTTAAATGCCTCACCAAAGGGTTGAATTGACTTGGGCCCAGGCCTTTTCACGGAGACTTGGATAATAATTAATGTCATTCAGAGTTGGTTCAATTCCAAGGAGACAGATGGCAGGTGAGGGACGAGAGTGCACTTTTATTGCTTTATGTTTAGTTCTTTCTGACTGTAAAAGTAATATGACAATAGCAGGGTGTGGGGGGAATGACACCCTAAATTTCTCCACGCCAGCACAGCACCTCCCCCTTTTGCCTGCCTCATCTAGTCCCCAAGCTGAGGAGCTTGTGTTCACATAGCTGCCTTCTCAGCGTGGGGGGTAATTTTGCTTTTGGTTTTGCTTTTTTCTAAATGCATCTCTTGTCATTAACAGTCCTCCGCATCTCTGTATATTCTGAATTCTTGAGACAGCTGCGTGGTGGTGCCCACGATAGTTTAGCTGCCCGGACCCGCCATTGTTGGGGGTTTGGGGCGTCAGGCAGTCCTGAACTTGCCCTGCCCTCTACCCGTGCAGAAAACCCCCTTAGGTGTGCAGGTGGTGTTGGGTAGGTTCAAATTCAATGCTTTTGGCAGGAAGGGTGGTAAAAAGGGCAAGGGGTGTCTGTAGGATTGGCTTTGGGGACCAGGGAAGATCAGTCCAACAGTGTCACTCCACGCTGTGGGGCAGAGGACAGCCCAGTCTTCCTTGGAGAGATTCCGTGGGGAAGGTGGTGCAGGGAAACCCAGAGGTGGACCGAGAGCAAAGGAGCTCCATGTAAGTCTCGGAAACCTGCCAGCCAGCCCTGGGCACCCCTGGCCACCTGGTCAGGGCTCTGCTGCCCGCTCTGCTCGGTACAACTCTATTCGCCTGCGCGTTTTCTCTGGCCTGGAACCAAGTCAGATAGGTCCCTCCCAAGAGTGTCCAGGTTGCCAGGGCCTCTGGCTACTGACACTGGCATCTGTCTCCTGTGTGTCCCCAGGCCACTCCCCACCACGGGGTCTACTCTCGGGAGGAGGAGCTCCTTCGGGAGCGGAAGCGCCTGGGAGTCTTTGGCATCACCTCCTATGACTTCCACAGCGAGAGCGGCCTCTTCCTCTTCCAGGCCAGCAACAGCCTCTTCCACTGTCGGGACGGGGGCAAGAATGGCTTCATGGTAAGTTCTGGTCCTTGGCTGGGGGACAGGCAGGCAGGTGGGTGGCATCCTGCCCTCCTGAGCCAGGTCTCTCTGTCCCCAGGTGTCCCCCATGAAGCCACTGGAAATCAAGACCCAGTGTTCTGGGCCTCGGATGGACCCCAAGATCTGCCCTGCTGACCCCGCCTTCTTCTCCTTCATCAACAACAGCGACCTGTGGGTGGCCAACATTGAGACGGGCGAGGAGCGGCGGCTGACCTTCTGCCACAGGGGTGAGGCGGGCAGAGGTGCCAAGTCCTGGCTGGGGGGGACAGGAACCTGCACCCAGGGGCGTGGTCTGTTGGGCCAGACTCAGGCCAGCACTTTCCAGGAATAGCCATCAAAGCCACCAGTACAGCTTCTAGAAAATACCCTGCCCCCATTCCACTCACTGTGACCCGTGGGAACCTGCCTGCACCCTGCTCCTGGAGCCCGCCCTCCCGTGTGGCCCTCTGTGGCTTCTCCCACTAGGCACTTACTCTGTACCTTCGCTCACTCGGCCCCTCCCACCTCCACTCTCCTTTCTGACTCCATGGGGTCAAGCTCAGATCTCACTTGCTTCCCGAGTTTTCCCTCATGCTCCTCCTCCTTGGAAATAACCTTCCCCTTCTGCACGTGTCTGTGGAACTCCGCACCCGACGTGGCCTTAGTCCTGCCTCCCTGTCCTGCCCTTGCTCTAAACCTGAGCATCTCAGCCAGGGGCAGCTTGGACACTGGCCATGTCCAGGGACACTCTTACTTGTCATAGCTGGGTCAGGGTGCTCTTGGGATCGAGTGGGTAGGGGTTCAGGGATGCTGCTCAACACCCCGCAGCGTGCAGGACAGCCCCCCATAGAGAATGTGCCAACCCCAATCTTAGCAGTGCTGGGAGGTGGGGGGACCTGCTTTAAACTAGACTTCTCATCTCTTATCCTGCTTTCTCCTTCTCCAGGCTTATCCAATGTTCTCGAGGACCCCAAGTCTGCAGGCGTGGCCACCTTCGTCATCCAGGAAGAATTCGACCGCTTCACTGGCTACTGGTGGTGTCCTACAGCCTCCTGGGAAGGTAGGTCCCTTTCGATTTTTAAAAAATGCTTCTGTGGACTTCTTTTATTAATAGAGTCTAAGCACTTTTCTACTCTTTGCACTTTTCACTTAAAGAAACCTCAGCAATCTTTCTGTTGATATCAGTGTCTCAGTCCATCAGTACCACAGGGAGGGGCTTATAAACAGCAAACACTTATACTTCATGGTTCCGGAGGCTGGAAGTTCAAGATAAAGGCACCACAAGTTTGGGGTGTGGTGAGAACCTCTTTTTGATTCATAGATGGCACCTTCTTGCTGTGTCCTCATGTGGTGGGGTCTCTTTTATAAGGATGTTAATGCCACTCATGAGGGCTCCACCCTCATGACCTAATCACCTCCCACAGGCCCCATGATGTAATGCCATTATTTTGGGGGGTAGGATTTAATATTTGAATTTGAAGGTAGGAGGTACAACATTCAGTCCAGCGCAGTCAGCACACAGAGAACTCTTTAATGACTATAGTTGACCCTGGAGTGTGAATGTGCCATGATTTATTGAACTAGTTCCACATGGACACTTCGGTTGACTCTAGTTGTGGGTTTTGGTTTTATTTTGTTGTCATAAGCAGTACTCTGATGAACATCTTTTATATACGGATCCTGGTGGGTGGTCTTCTGGGAGTATATCAGCGGTTCTCAGCTGGGATGAATCTGCCTTTAGGGGACATTTCACAATGTCTGGAGACATGTGTGGTTGTCACACCTGAGTCTGAACCACTCCCAAACCACATGGCCTCAAGCCAGCCACTCAGCCTGTCAGGCTTCCAGGGCTCCACCTGTAAAGCAGCTGTGGACCAGGCTGGATGTTTCTGGAGAGGTCTTTGGTCTGTCCACAGTGAGTCACAGGTGAGGGTGCAGATTGCAGTGGATGGAGAAGCTTCTCAGTAGCTTGTTGAAGAAGGAATGGCCATGGGCTCTGTCCTCGTGACTTCAGCATTGACAGTCACCATGCTCCTTTCTGGGCTGTTACCACCCAGTGATTAACTTATTCTCATAATGATCTTTATTATAATTCTTCTTGAGCCACGGGTTAATCTGCTTGGGCTGTTGCACCAACTCCCACAGACTGAGGGCTTAAACAACAGGTGTTTATTGTCTCACAGTGCTGGAGGCTGCCAGTCCAACTTCATGGTGTCAACACCTTGGCCCACTCTCCTTGGCTTGTAGATGCCGTTTTCCCTGTGTGTGTGTTTGTGTCTTAATCTCTTCTTATAAGGACACCAGTCCTTGGAGCTCTCTGTCATGACCTCATCTTACCTTAATCACCTCTTTAAGGATCCCATCTCCAAATACAGTCACTTTCAAAGGTCCTGGGGATTAGGGCTTCAACATAGGGATTTGGCAGGGACATACGTAGTTCAGCTCACAAACCCCCCCACATGGCCATCTCCCATGCCCTGCTTCCCGAGCTGGGAAGTTCTTCTTTGTGTTGGGAGTGGCTCGGTTCTCGTCCCCACTGTGCAGGTAAGGAAACTGAGGCCCTAAGAGGAGACACGACTGGCTGAGGGTCTAGTAAAGGGCAGTTGCCAGGGTTCCAGCCCCAGGGCTCGATCTCCTGTCTGGGCCAAGCTGCTGCAGAACAGAGTCCTTCTTACATTCTAGATGGGGTGGGGCTCCCGGCACCCTCAGTAGTGTCCCCTTCCCCCTCCCAGGTTCAGAAGGCCACAAGACACTGCGAATCCTGTACGAGGAAGTCGATGAGTCTGAGGTGGAAGTCATTCATGTGCCCTCTCCTGCACTAGAAGAAAGGAAGACAGACTCGTACCGATACCCCCGCACAGGTGAGTGCCCAGGACAGGTCTAAGGCCCCATAGAGCGAAGTGAGTCCCCAACGAGGATGGGCCCACAGGATCCAGAGAAGCAAACCAGGCTTGGGAACAGGAGCCGGGCCAGTGCTGCCTTGGGGCCCAGGAGACAGAAGGGGGAGGCGGGGGGAGGTTGTGAGGGGGTGTGGGCCCCGCCCTAGGGCGCATCAGGCATTTGTTGCCTTGTGGGAATACAGACTCAAGTTTGCCTGTTTCTCAGGAGAAACTGGAAATCCAGACTCACTTGAGAAGTTACCCAATTCTTAAATGTTACCTGAATTATTTAAAAATACTCAGTGAGCTGAACAGAATACACAGTGGGCCAGGTTCAACCTGCAGGCCTCTTGTTTGCCACCTCCATGGAAGCAAATGGAAGTCATTCTTGCTAATAACCTGCAGTGGGCGCCTACTGAGTGCCATGCTAGACGGAGCCTTCCTGGAGGATATTCCCAATTCCCAGGGCAAACGGGAAAAGTCTGTCTTACCCCTCCCCACTTGTAAAGGCGAGAACACTGAGGCTTAAGGACATTCCCTGCCTGGGGTGCTAGAGCCCTGAGTGCCAAAGTTGAGATTTATCATAGAAACGCCTGAAGCCTGAGCCAAATCCCCCCTCGGACACATTTTAGTCATCCCAATCCATAAGGCCCCTGCCTTCCAGTGGGTGGGGCCCTGGCTGTGTTACATGGGACATGTGCCGTCTTTCTGCAGTGTTGGTGGTTTTATTATGGATGTATCCCATCATCACAGCCAGATTTCAAGCTCTCCAAAGGCAGGCAGGTGTCTTCCTTGTGTGTGTGTCCCCTAGGAGCCCCCCATCAACATAGAAATTGTTACGTCACTGTCTGGAATGAGGTCCTGGCCCAAAGTCAAAAAGTCCATGACTTTGTGCCTTGACCAGAGTGGGTGACATGCTCGCGGAGAGACCTTTGGACACTCTTCCTCCCCTCCACCAGATGCCAGCTGTGTCACCTTTCTGTAGGCATCACCCTGCACCTTCCACCCCGATACCTGCTTTCACCCTACATGGGCGACGGCTGCCTGGCTCACGTCACTTTCATTTCTGCAGGTAGCAAGAATCCCAAGATCGCCTTGAAGCTGGCCGAGTTTCAGACTGACAGTCAGGGCAAGGTAAGAGAGGCTGGCGAACCCCAGAGAAGCTTCTGGATGAGAAGGGGCGCTGGGGTGTGTGTTGCGTGCCGGGTAGATAGTTGGGCGGCATCAGCAGGCTGCGCGCCCCGCCCCAGGGGCAGGCGCTCCTCTTGGCCGGCTGAATGCAAAGACACGGGCCAGGGCCCCGCCCCCAGCCTGGGCCCTGCCGCCCCTGCTGCTCTGCACCTCACTCTGAAGTGACAACAGGTCCTCCTCATTTCAGGAGTTGTTGCTCAGGCCTCCCTAGTGCCCTCATGTACTATCCTCATGTATCATGTACATAGTGTCATGTACTATGAGGATAGGGACATGATCAGAAGTTAGAGTTCAGACAAGCTGAGAAAGCCCTTGCATATTTTTGCCAAAATGCATCCTTCTAGAATGTTTCAGAAAAAAGTGTACAGTAAAATACACTTATATTTGTAATTTAGGAGTCTTTTTCATTTCGAGCATAATTAGGTCCCAACCAAACCCCTTCTTCACTCTTGTCCAGTGTATTCTTGCTGATTTGACACCAATCTGCTCTAAGGCGTTTTGTTCTAAGCCGCCTCTGGCTCTGTCAGATGAACAGGGGCCTGTGGTGGCGGGGTCACACCAACCGAACAGGCAGCTGGGGGTGTAGTGGGGGCAGCCCGCTGGGCCGTAGGGCACGCTGAGGCCCTGCCTGCCTTTTCTCCCTCCATCCTTCTGGGGAGATGCTGTGCCAGCCCCATTTAGGCTGCCTGGCTCTGCAGTAGCAGCGCACACAAGAACCCTCGGTTTCCTTGTCAACGGGCTATCATAGTGAAGTCCCGCGGCCTGGGTGACTTAAAAGAGCAGAAATTTATTGTCTCGCAGTTAAGGAAGCGAAAAGTCTGAAATCGAGGTGTCAGCAAGGCTGGTTTCTCCTGAGGCCGTGAGAAAGGACCTGTTCCAGGCCTCAGTCTTCCTGTGTCTCGTCTCAAGGCACTACCCATGTGACGCCTGCGTCCACATCTCCCCCTTTTATAGGAACACGAGTGCTGTTGGATTGGGGCCACCCTACTCCTGTATAACCTCATCTTAACTAATTATATCTGCAGCCATTTTATTTCCAAATAAGGCCCCATTGCGAGGTACCAGTGGTGAGATCTTCATCCTATGAATCTGAGGGGGACACAGTGTGCCCCTAACAGTGGCCATCTACTCCTGGGTCGCACATGATCAGGCCGAGTGTGACCCAACTCTGTTTTCCCTTTAGATCATCTCAACCCAAGAGAAGGAGCTGGTGCAGCCCTTCAGCACGCTCTTCCCCAAGGTGGAATACATCGCCAGGGCAGGGTGGACCCGGGACGGCAAATAGTGAGTCTCTCTGATAGGACGTAAGTCGCTTCCGTTCAGAAACCCGGGGGGCCACTCCCCGCCCTCTCGTGTCCTATGATAAGAATCCTGAAGTCACAGGAAAGAAGGATTCTTGTTTCACTTGTTTTCCAGCCCTTCTGCTCACATCTGGGACAAACGTCTCTAACCAGAGTCCTAAAGCACGGCCCGCGGGCCAGGTCCTCACCGCCTGCCTTTTTCTGTAAGGCCCAGGAGCCAAGGAATGGCTTTTATGCTTTTAAATGATTAGGAGGGGGAAAATCTAAAGAATAATAATATTTTATCACACACAAAAATGATACAAAATCCTTATTTTGGCGTGTATAAATGAAGTTTAATCGGCACAGGGCCACACTCGTTCATCGCAGCTTCTCTGTGGCCACTTTCGCACTGTGAGGGCAGGGCTGAGTAGCTGTGAAGGACACGGTGGCCGCAGAGCTGAAGTGCTGACTCACTGGCACCTGTACAGAAAGGGTGTGCCTTCCCTGCTGCAAACATGTGCGGGGCGCCTTCGTAACAGGAACAGCTAGGCCCAGGCCTGGCGCCTTGTTGGGCCGCAGGCTCGCTCTGGGACCCCACGTCCCTGATGTTGCTCTTTGATTTGGAGTTAGTTGCTCCCTGTTTATGTTGAGATGCTGCCTTTCCACTTAGAATACTGATAGGTCCCCATTTAAAGTGCATTTAAGTTAAAAATAGTCAAGTTACAGCAAAGCATGAAATCAAGGATGCTGTATGTGGGTGAGGATTTGGCAGAAATCATGGCATTTCAAAACACTCCTGTAAGATTGAATGATGCGAGACCTTTCCAGAAGTCAGGTTATGGAGGTCAGTCAGCCCTCCTGTCCTCCCCTGAGCACACGCGCCAGCCAGGAAACCTTTGTGTGCTGTGGGGTTACAGTCAGGTATTGGCAAGGCTGACCAAGGGGTGGGGGTGGGGGGCAGCGTTAGGCACTGGCTTCCCGCTGCTGGCCCCTGAGGCCCCCGGCTTCTCTTTCACCTTCTCAGTGCCTGGGCCATGCTCCTGGACCGGCCCCAGCAGCGGCTGCAGCTTGTCCTTCTGCCCCCGGCCCTGTTCATCCCCACCACTGAGAATGAGGAGCAGCGGGCGGCCTTCACCAGAGCCGTGCCCAGGAATGTCCAGCCGTACGTGGTGTACGAGGAGGTCACCAACGTGTGGATCAACGTAAGGGTGGGGAGGTGCTGGGTGTGCACTGGGTCCCCTGCACAGAGAATCGAGCTCAGGCAGGCCTCCCCCTGTCCGGGGAGCGCGGGAGTCCCTGCGGGACCGGGTTTGGCCTCAGTAAACCCAGCCAGCTGCCAGGGCCTCAGCTTCCTCGGCAGGGCGTGCCCCCCACCTCCTGACGCACCTTCTCTCTTCTGCCCTGACAGGTTCATGACATCTTCTATCCCTTCCCCCAATCAGAGGGAGAGGACGAGCTCTGTTTCATCCGTGCCAACGAAAGTAAGACCGGCTTCTGCCACTTATACAAGGTCACCGCCGTGTTACAGCCCAGCGGCTATGACTGGAGCGAGCCCTTCAGCCCTGGGGAAGGTGAGCAAAGTCTGAGTAGCGCCACTGCTCATCAAGGCAGCCCTCTGTGGCTCAGTGCCCTGCTTGTCCACTGGTCCCATCCTTTGCCTGAGCCGCCCGAGAGAAAGAAGCCAGCCTTCGGCCCCCGTTATGCATGGCCTGGCAGGGACTATCACAGCAAGCTCTCATTCGTTCAGTCAACAGTAGTTACTGAGCGCCCGCTAGGTGCAGGCCCTTCTCATACCAGGGGCTGGCAAGCTGCAGCCACAGGTCAATGCCAGCTCGCTGCCTGTTTCTGTCAAGTTTTATGGGCACCTGGTCACACCCATTCATTTATGGGTTCCCTGTGGCGGTTTTTGTGCCATGATGGCAGAGATGAGTAGTAATCCAAAACCAGTGAAAGATGCTGTCCCATAAGAGATGAGCATGAGAAGGAAACCGCAGCAGAATAAGAGGTTAGAGAATAAGGGGCATTCTTTCTAGAATGGGTGGTCAGGAGGACGTCTCTGGATAGTGCGCCATGGAGCAGACCTGGAGGACATGGTAGAAGTGGCGAAGGCAGCCGCACAGGACACTCCAGGCCTCAGGAGCAGCCCATACAAGGGTCCTGGGGCAGGACCATGCCCAGCGTGTTAGGGGACCAGCAAGGAAGCCTGTGTGACTGGAGCAGAGTGAGCGAGGGAGAGAGAGGGAAGTGGTGATGGCGAGGAGGGGATGGGCAGGTCATGCAGGGCCTTGTAAGTCTTGGGGAGGGCTTAGGCTTTTGCCAGTGATCTTATACAAGCTTAAAATGATTCCTGGGTTTGCTGCATGGAGTGTAGCCTCTGGAGTAAGAAGGGAAAGGGACTAGAGCCTGGCAGTGGGGCTGGGCTGACCCCGGTTATTCAGTTCTGTGTACACTTTGACTACTGGGCAGACACAGTTGGCCAGTGGATTTTGGATGTGGAGTCTGAGAGAGAGAGAGAAAGGCATGGGCACTTGGAAGAGTTTTGAAGGTCTAGTCTGAGATAGAAAGACTCTGAAAGGGACAGTTTTAGGGGAGAAAAGTCCAGAGGTGGGTTTGAATGTGTTCACAGTAAAGAGCTCAGTAGTGGGAATGCTGCGCAGGCAGGTTCGTGTACTGAGAGCTCTGGGGAGCAGAATGTGTTTATGATGGGAGTGTGACCATCCTTCTGTTCGGGTGGGTTCCCAGCCCCAGGACAGGACGGAGCGCCAAAGGGCCAAGCCCGGGGAGGGACACAGTGTGGTCTGAGCGTTCTGCCGGACTCTTCAGGCTTGGAACAGGGTCTGTCCCTGGGCACTGCCGGCGTCAGGGCTGGGCCATTCTCTGTAGGGGTGTCCTGGGCATGGGGAGCGGGCGGGGTTGAGCAGCATCCTTGATCCCCACCTACTCCCCAGTCATGACAACCGTAGGTATTTCCAGATGTCACCCAGTGTTTCCTGGGGCTGAGTCACCCCAGGATTGCCCTACAGGTTAGAGGCAGAGCCCACAAAGGAGCCTCAGGCAGCCACCAGGGGACAGAGACCCAGGTGAGGGGATGTTCGGGGTGCCAGGGGCTGAGGGGAGCCCTAGTGTCAAGAACAAGCGAAGCCAAAAGCTACGAGGGGCTGAGTCAGGCAGGGGCTGAGGAGTGACTCCTGTCTCAGGGCATTGTCACTTGGGGTTTAATGCGGCCACCACAGGCCAGGAAAGCCACGTCTGAGGATAGTTTTCTTTGGCTCCTTGGTGTTTCTGCTTTTTGGTTTGTGTATTGACTTACCTGACCCCACCTAGCCTTGGGAAATGTCACTTGAAAAGTTCTCATTTCTGCCTTGAGATGGGCCGACTAAGCACCCGGATTTTACCTGTTGGTGGCTGAGCGGAGCTCACGGCAGGTGCCTCTCAGGAGACTTCCGGCTTTGGAGTTGGGCACACCCATTTTCCCATGCCCTGGGCGGGGGAAGGGCCCAGCTGCGTCCCCTTGTCACACTACCTGCCACGTGTCTCCCACCTGCTTGACGGCAATTGAACAGATGAGAAGGCAAGACCTCGTTCACTTCAGATCATAACCTTAAAGGCAACATCAAGGTGTCCTGGTAAAGTGGGAGTGAGGCCAGGAGCTGGAGGGACATATGTGGGACAGGGACGGGATGGCGCTGGCAAGTGAAGTGTGCAGTCGTGCCAGACAGGGCCCAGCAGGTGTGGCCGGCAGGACCCTCTGGGCCAAGAGAAGCATGGGCTTGAACCCGGGCGGCGGAGGAAGAATCACGGGCCTCTGGAGAGGAGCAGCCTGGGTCCCCCTTGGGTTGCCGGACAGGGCTCAGAATGGCGGGAAGCAAGGCAGGGGGCCCAGCCAGCTGAGCCGTAGGCCAGTGGGAGGCCTCTGGGGCGGCAGGAAAATTGAGAAAGGACAGAGCTGGCCTAGGACACAGAGGCTATAGACTGGCATTTGACAAGTTGGTGGGGGCCAGCCTGGAAAATGTGGGCTCCAGGATAAGACTGCTGGGGTGAAGCTGGGTCTCAGTGCTTTGTGTCCCCATCACAGCTTCCTGGGCCCCCTCCACCTCTTTCCCTTTCCTTTCTTCCAGATGAATTTAAGTGTCCCATCAAAGAGGAGATCGCGCTGACCAGCGGTGAATGGGAGGTTTTGGCCAGGCACGGCTCCAAGGTACTGGAGTCTCCATGCACGCTTGTACACACATGTGCACACAGATACACACACATCTGGTCCCTGTCAAGACCTCTTGTGCTGGTGGCTCGTCCTGCCCCCACCTGGTCACTCCTCCCTCCTATGCTGCTCCCTCCCCAGCCCCAGCGTGCCCAGCGCCACAGGGACTGTGGTTTTGACCAGCTGGAAGCACCCTGGGTCCAGGATGCAGGGCCTGCTCTGAGTGCCAGTTATTGGATCCTGCTGGGTGGGGCCTGACCCATTCCTAGGGCCACCTGGAGCTTTCTGTTGTCCTCCTTCCATTCCATGAAACCACTTGCCCCTGGAAGAACAGTTTGTGGGACACTTAGGGTGCCCGCCTTGGGATTGTCCTGCAGCTTCTGACCAGGGCCCACCCCAACACCCACCCCTGGAGAGGTTTGGGAGCAAAGGATATGGCCACAGGGAGACAAGAAACGTACCTTGCATTCTTCCAAATGCACCATCAGAAAAACATGGCAAGACTTTGCCTCTGGCTAGGGTGTCTTCACTGGGGTCCAGGTCTACAAGATTCCAAATTTTACAGAGGACCCCCTTGATCAGCCTCCCTGTCTCTGCACCTCACACCAGCATAAGTGCCTCCCAGACCAAAGACAGGCATTAGAGATGTTAGCACATGCGTGAGCCTCACAGCACTCTTTGTGGGGTGAGGGGTAGCGGTCAGCAGATGCTTGAATGAGTGAGCCAGGAGTGAGGCAGGTAGGTCCAGGCTCCACAAAGAACCCTTTGGATTACAGTGTAACCACTCCTGACAGAGTGCCCTGTCACCAACTTGTAAAGATGTCACTACAAATTGTTGGGAAAGAAGCGAAATATAAAACCATGGAGCATAGTCCTAAGTCTGTTAGATTTCATGTTTGCATTTTTATGTGTGAGGAGGGAGGGCCAGAAGGTTAGGCACCCAAAGGTTAAAGGGCTGTTGCTTACTCCTAGTGGCTATGCTGTGGTTGCAGCCAGTTTTGCTGGAGCTGTTGCCCCCCGCAACCCCACTTCATAGACTAGCCCTGCCCCTTAGTAGCTGGGTACTAAGGCTCAGTTTCCTCATCTGTGAAGTGGGACCATCTAGTAGCTCTGATTCTTTCGTCTTGACAGCTGGTCTCTGCCCCTCGTAACTGCTGACATCGGGGTCAGATGATTCTCTGTGAGGGTGTCCTGGGCACTGCAGGGTGTTGAGCAGCATCCTTGGCCCCCACCAGGAGCACTCCCAGTTGTGACAACCACAGATGTCCCCAGACATGACCAGGTGTCCCCTGGGGACAGAAATCACCCTGGGTGAGGACGCTGCTGTATAGAACTTTGAAGCCTTTGGCATACGGAACGTCTGGCACACACATAAGCCCACATCATCATCACCTTCGTCACCCTCGGCGTGCCTTATCCTTTTACTCAGAAATCAAAAATCAAAAGCAGCAGCATTTTAAAAGTTAAAAAAGGGAAGGAGTGTTTCTCTCACGTTTCTGCCTGAGGCCGTGTGCCCCCAGCCTGTTCAGGCAGCACCTCGGACAGGGGCCTTAGCGGGGCCCCTTGCCTGGAGAGCGCCTCCTTCTCCATTTGCGCGCCTTCTCACATCGTGCTTGAGACAGAACTGGCTTTCAGCTCTGCGCTCTTAATCATCCTCTATTTCTAGAAACCTTTATTTAAAAAGGATGCTAACACTGAATGCATCAGTGTTTGTTACAGTAACTGAATCGTTCTAGATAAGACTCAGATTGGAATCCCCTGCAATCCTCACCCTGGGCCCTGCAGCCGCTTCCCCTCCTTGGAGGTGCCCAGAGAGGGAAAGCACGCAGACCTTTCCTATTTGTACACATTGTTTGAGGGGATTTCTAGAAAAATACAGGTTTGGGGTTTTTTTTGTGGACACAGAGAACTGTGCCATAATTATAAGAATCCCACCTTTTTGAACATTCAAGCTTTATTTATTTTTAGAGAGAAAGGGTGGGAGAGAGGGAGGGAAGCATCAGTCTGTGGTTGCCTCTCAGGCACCCCTTACTGGGGACGTGGCCCGCAGCCCAGCTATGTGCCCTGACTGGGAATCAAACCAGCAATCCTTTGGTTCGCAGGCAGCACCCAATCCACTGAGCCACACCAGCAAGGGCCTTTCTTTAGTCTTAAGAACACTTTGAGCATCTTTGTCCTTCCATTTTGAAATCCCCCTCCTGGGTGGAGTCCTCGGTAACGCTTCCCAGGGGCATAATGGCCAGGTCAGAGGATGCACCTTTTTAAGTGTTCTGTCTCTGTGCTGCAAGATTGGCCACTGAAAGGCAGTGCCTGTTCTCATCCTCAGAGCAGTGTTTTTCCTTCCCTCCTGAGGACATCACCTAAGAACCACACAGGGCCGGATGGGGGTTCCACCAGGAAATACGCAGGGCAGGGAGTGCCACCTCTTAACCCCATGCATCTGCGTCGCAGATGTGCGCTGATCCCATTTGGGCCCTTGGCCCAAGATGGCCCCTCCCTCTGCCTCTGTCCAAGACACTGGACCCTCAGATCCTACCCAAGGGCTCTGGGCACGCCCAGGGTAACTGTCTGGGGTTCTGATTCTAAGTCGCACCAGGATGTGCAGTTAGCCCAGCTAGACTGGGATCGCCTTCTGCTCTGCAGGGTCCGAGAAGGGCATCTCTCCCAGACACTTCTCCAGCCAACCTAGGGGAAAATAAGTTCCCCTGTTCACAGAACACTGGGCCCTCTCTGCAGGGGTGGGGTAAAGGGTGGGGGGCATGGGAAGGCAGGCATGGGAAGCATGGGGCGGCATAATAAGGAGCCCCTATTATGTCCCCACAGATCTGGGTCAACGAGGAAACGAAGCTGGTATACTTCCAAGGCACAAAGGACACGCCCCTGGAGCACCACCTCTATGTGGTCAGCTATGAGTCAGCCGGTGAGATCGTGCGCCTCACCACACCTGGCTTCTCCCACAGCTGCTCCATGAGCCAGGTGGGCACTCCCCTGAGCCCTGATGTACTCAATGGCACTGTCCCTGCACCCCATCCCTTAGCCTCTTGGAACATTCTAGAACATCTGGCAGCCGAGCACCAGGCCACTCCCCATCCAAGGCAAACACTTGGTAGCATTTTGCTGGCTGTAGAACCGGAGAGATAAGTGGACTCTGGCATCAGAAGGACCTGGGTCTGACCACATGGGGCTCTTGGCCAGGGGACGGACTCCTCTCAGTCTCAGTTTGCTTATCTGCAAAATGGGGATGATGGTAATAGCAACCACCCCATGTGGTTGGAGTTTGAGGTTTAAATGAACACTCGCACAGGGTAAAGATGATAAATATTCAGTGAAGGTTGGTGGGTGATGGGGCAAAGGCGGAGAATTGGAGGCAGGGAGAGGTGCTCAGCGCCCCCGTCCTACCCGCAGAATTTCGACATGTTCATCAGCCACTACAGCAGCGTGGGCACACCGCCCTGCGTGCACGTCTACAAGCTGAGCGGCCCTGACGACGACCCGCTCCACAAGCAGCCTCAGTTCTGGGCCAGCATGATGGAGGCGGCCAGTGAGTAACCCCAGATCCTGCAGGGCTTTGACCCAGTCCTTCTCCTTGGGAGCCTCGGTTTGCCCGTCTATAAAATGGGATGGGGTCCCATTAAATAACACTAGTGAGAAGAGGTTGTCCTCGAGGGTCATGCCCAAAGCCCTGCCTGATAGGCCTGCCCAGCACCCAGCCCCTCACAGCAGCTCCGAGAGCTTGTCATTGAACATGACCACTAGCCCCAGCTGTCCTGTGGGCCCTTCACCTGGGACAGACTCTCATTTCTGCGCTGCAGTCAAGGACTGCACCTCACAGAGCAGACTCTGTTCGGGATCCAACTCTACCTGACAGAGGGGTCCCTGCAGAGAGCATCCCTCTCCTCAGGGGATGCTGTCTCCAAGGGCACAGAGCAGACGCCCCGAAGCCTTAGTGGAAGAAGCCCAGAAGTCAGTCTCACGTGAAGCCTCGGGAAACAGGAGGCAGCTTGTCAGTTGTCCCGGAGCCTGGAGGGCAGCCCGGGCTCTGCTGGGGTGACCCCAGGTTCCCGCCTGGCTGCAGAACCATGTGCAAGTCAGCTTGCCTCCCTAAAATGCTCTTTTATCTACAAAATCATACAATATCCATTTTTAGGATTAAAATCAAACCCTCGGTACCCCCAAGAATCTCTCCCAAAGGACAGCCTTCCCTGACTGCAGCCCTGCTGCTTGCCAGATTCCAGATGTTTTAGGAAATAAGAAGCCGTGGCATTTGTAGAGTATTGTATGGGTTAAAAGCATCTTGTTATATCTCCACCCCTGGAACCTCAGTAGATGCAAGTCCTCTCCATCCAATAGCTCAGCCTGTGACTTTTCACGTCACCGTAGGACGTGATGGAGCAGGACCTTCAGCCTTGGTTTTACAGATGAGGAATGGAGCTGTGCAAGATGAGAACTTGCCGTCATTGTACGGTGATGGGAACTCGAGTGTCCTAATGCGGAGCCCTGGGTGCGCGGGCATGTCTGCAGACAGCTCCTGTGAGCAGTCGGCCAGCTGTGGGCAGCTCCCACCTCACCCCATCGTGTGTGTCGGCCGCAGCTGCCGTAAGGCCACAGCTGCAAGACTGAGTTGTTACTGCAGAGATACATGTCTCCTTGGTGCTTAAAGCCCAAAATACCCTCCACTGCTTTCCAGAAAATATTCGACAACCCCTCAATTACATTACCACTTATTTAACTTTTAAGTCTGCACCCTGTTTACCCGAATAAAATTATCTTAGAGAAAGACTTCTCTTCACCATCATGATCCAAACACCAGTGTTGCTTTGCAAAAATGAAAGTAATTATAAAAATCGGAGAGGAGCAGACCATGAGAATTGGCTCTTAGTCAAATCCCAGAAGTGTTGTTACCTTCATGGGGGGTAAGCTAGCATCAGGGGCTGCTGGGATAGGGCACCTCCAACCCGCCCTCGGCCGCTGGGGGCCAGGCAGTGGGGCGTGGCTGTTCAGCCAGCTGTGGGTTCCTGCCTGAGTAGCCATGGCTTCTCTGTCCCTGCAGGCTGCCCCCCTGATTATGTGCCCCCAGAAATCTTCGACTTTCACACGCGGTCTGATGTGCGGCTCTACGGCATGATCTACAAGCCACATGCTGTACAGCCGGGGAAGAAGCACCCCACCGTCCTCTTTGTGTACGGAGGTCCCCAGGTGGGTGCCGGTCTACTCCTTCCACCCTCTCCCTCCATGCCAGGACTTGGGTGCCCCACCCCATCCCCACTGACCACACTGGGTTCCTGGGCTCCTCGATCTTCCGTCTGTGGCTTTCTGTCACCTTATCTTCCCCAGTGACCACCCACTCCCTCTCTCCTGCTGATGCTCCCTGTCCCTTTGGGACATCTCCTTCACACCCATGTGTTCTTTTGGGCCAACTGCCCAGTAGTGATCCACTCTCACCAGCATGGGGACAGAGGTGGCCTGAGCCGGGGACCCAGTTCTCTGAGAAGGAAACAAGGCCAAGCCAGCAGGTCCATCTAAGACAGTGATTCTCACTTGAGGGTGCTCTTTCCCACTGGGGACACTGGACAATGTCTGGGTATATTTGTCGTTGTCCCATCTTGGGGGAAGCACTCCTGGCATCGATGCTGTCTACATGCTCCAGTGCCGAGGGCCCCCCCTCCCAACACACCACACAGATGAAAGGCCCAAGGAGTAACAGTGCCAAAGTGAGAAGCTGTTTTAAGTCAAGTCCCTCAGAGAAAGCAACCAGCCGCACCCCCCACCAACTTTTATGTCTGCTTTTTAGAGATAACTGAAAGGTATAAAAGGGGCAAAAAGTGGCTGAAGAAATAGAAGATTCCAGGGAGGGCCAGCTGAGACGAGAGCTCGATTGAGGCCTTCCTCTCTGCAGCACATTGTAGGCACCAGGAAGACCGGGGCCCCTTCGTCTTCCACTACCTCGCCCCCAGGACCCGTCCAGGCCGTTCCTAGTCTTCACAATAAAGCACAGGGGCCTTGATTAGGCTGTAAGACACGCCCCGCCCCCCGACCCTATCCTGCTGGCCTCTAGGCCATCTAGCCCATCCTGTCTTGGATCTCACGCAGGATTCTCGCCACTTGCCCAAAGCCCCACATCTTCTCCTTGCCTTCTCCCACAGGTGCAGTTGGTCAACAACTCCTTCAAGGGAATCAAGTATTTACGGCTCAACACGCTGGCGTCCCTGGGCTACGCCGTGGTTGTGATCGATGGCAGGGGCTCATGTCAGCGAGGGCTTCGGTTCGAAGGGGCCCTGAAAAACCAAATGGTAACTTCTCTTCCCAGTCTCTCTGGACCCTTCCTGTGTGGTGAAGGGAGATCTTGATTTGTTGGCTCAAGGTTTGGGGTGGTTCTGGGGTACCTCCTTCAAGGACTGTCCTGGCCAAGATGCCAGGCATAAATGGAGTGGCGTTTTGGAACCAAGGGGAACATCTGCTTTGCTGCTCAGTTCTGAGCTTCGCCCTATGAGAGGCAGGTACCCGCCCATTCCAGCTGGTGCCTGAGACCAGACACAGCCAGACATGTCAGTACAGGCCCAGGTGGCAGGGGTGCCAAGAGCGGGGCCAGGCTGGGACTGGTGACCATAGAGGTGGTGCTAATGGTGATGGTGGTGATGATGATGATGTGGAGGAGGAGGAGGAGAATGATGATGGAGACGATGACGGTGATGACACCAGCTGGTCACCAGAGCCCTTGTACGTGCCAGGCCTCTGAGTGCAGGACACCCACCACCTCGTGTTGTCCTCTTGTCCACTGTAAGATGGATCCTGCTTAGGGTGACGTCCTCATTTTGGGGATGTAAAAACAGGCTCAGAGAGGGGGTGTGACTTTCTCAGAGTCACTGAGCCCGGACATGGCGGGGCAGGGTCGGTGCTGGGCCTGTCCGATCGCTGCCCTGGGAAGCAGGCAGAGTGTGGACGGGGCCTGGAGAGAGGGCTGTCTTCCGGAAAGCTGCTTCGGTCAAAGAGGGAGAGGGCTCCCCACAAGGGACAAAGGTGGGACGGCAGGGTGCACACCAGGAGAAGGCCACTGAGAGGTTCCCGGCCTCATCCCCCAGGGCCAGGTGGAGATTGAGGACCAGGTGGAGGGCCTGCAGTTCGTGGCTGAGAAGTACGGCTTCATTGACCTGAGCCGGGTGGCCATCCACGGCTGGTCCTACGGAGGCTTCCTCTCGCTCATGGGGCTGATCCACAAGCCCCAAGTGTTCAAGGTGGGTCCCACCCCAGCCCCACCCCCTTGTCTACCAGCACCCACCCATGCCCCTTGGAGCCCCTGGGGGAGGCATCTTGGCAGGGGCTTTGCCACGTGGCTGTTTCTCCCTGCAGCAGCCCCACGGGGCCGAGCCCCCCTCCTCATTGCCCGCCACTGCTGACCCCAGGATGGCATCCGGCTGCACAAAACCCCACCAGCAGCTCTCTGTGGGAGGCTGAGCCTGGGACCCCGGCCTCGGATGGGCAGAGGTGGGGCATGGTGTGAAGAGCATCGGGGGAGGGGCCCCCAGGCCGGCGGCACTGTCCGGGCACCGCGGGGCGGCGATGAGGAGGAGGAGGCAGAAAGGCAGTGGGACCAGGGAGGGGCCGATCCCGGCCTAAACATGCCCATTCAATTCACCCTCCCTCAACAGCGCACAGTCCATGGGGACACACGGTCAGAGGGCCCCTCCTTGCCAGCCCCCCGTGTGCATGCCGTCCGCGGGAGGCCCTGGGACAGCGAGTTGAGCAAGGGCTCTTGGAACCTGACCCGTGTGCATGTGTCTCTCCTCTCTCCCTCTCCCTCCCTCCCTCCCTCCTCCTGTCTCTCTCTCTCTCTCTGCCCTATTCATCCACTGTGGTCCTCAGGTGGCCATCGCAGGTGCCCCAGTCACGGTGTGGATGGCCTACGACACAGGGTACACGGAACGATACATGGACATCCCGGAGAATAACCAACTTGGCTATGAGGCGGGTTCCGTGGCCCTGCACGTGGAGAAGCTGCCCAACGAGTAAGGCCCCTACCTGCCCAGGAGATCCCGAGTCACCAAGGCCCTCCTGCCTCCGACGCTGTGCTCCTGTGGCTCCCGCTCCTCCCTTTGTCTGCTTGAGCCTTGCCTCCCCTCCTGCAGCCCTGTCTCCTCTCCACTCTTCCTAGGACGCGGGCTTCTGGGCGCTCTGGGAGGGAGGCCCTCAGAGAGCTGGAAGGAAGGTTCTAGATTTGTACCACTGCACATGCAGGCTACCCTCGCTACCGAAGCACATAGCCCGCCATGGACCTGTCCGTTGGTCTGCAACCTGAACAGCCTCTGTCTTGTGGGTTTTGACATGTTTGTACATCAGTTCTATCGGACCAGCTCAGATGTCCCATGTCACATTTTTGGCATTGGCATCTCATTTTCTGATTGAAAGAAATCAGTGTTGCCACTTTCTGCTGTGGCTCTGTCTGAATGTATGCCGGGGTCCCATGTCTTTCATGCTGGGGTTCCCATTACCATATACCCGGCCTGGGCTCCCTGGGGACGCCAACATACAGCCAAATTTGCAGCCTCCTGCTCTAGATCTGTGCCATCCACTTAAATTTAAGTTCACATTCGCTCACATCCATTGGAATAATAAATCCATGGAGGCAGACATAGATGGCTGGTTGCCAGGGGATGGGAGTGACTGCTGATGGGCACGGAGTTTTGCTTTGGGGTGATGGAATGTTCTGGAACTAGGTAGAGATAATGGTTGTACAATCTTGTGAATGCACGAAATGACCCCGACATATTCACTTTAAAATAAATTGACTGTAAACTATGTGAATTTCACCTCAATAAATTACTTTTTAAAATCAAAAATTTTAAAAATACAGTTCATTGGCCACTCTTGCCTCATTTCAAGCGCTCAGTAGCCACATGTGGTGGCAATGGTGGTGGTTTTAGGGCCCGGCAGGTCTAGAACATTCTGTCATCCCAGAGTGCCTTGGGGCAGCACTGTCCTAAAAACTTACTGTAGTTCGGGGCATTGCACACACAGCTGAGAACGCCCTTCTCCCCTCCTTGCCTGGAGGAAGTGAGGAGGTCTCTCTGACCCATCCATTGTGCCCTCCTGTCACTTTCAGTTCTGCCACGGGCTCTTGCTTTTGTCCTCGCTACCCCTGGGCCGAAGAGGAACCCTGGGACTAACTGCCTCGGAGCAGGAAGCGGGGGACCCGCTCCAGACCATCACCCCATTTTGTCTTCCAGGCCCAACCGCCTGCTCATCCTGCACGGCTTCCTGGATGAGAACGTGCACTTTTTCCACACAAACTTTCTCGTCTCCCAACTGATTCGAGCCGGAAAACCTTACCAGCTCCAGGTGGGTGGCTCCTGGACACTGTGGGCCCATCCCAGGAGCTGGCAGGGTGGGCAGTGGCAATTGGGGTGGCATCTCCTCCCCCTGCACTTGCTGCCTCTCTGAGGGCATCTGTGGTCATGCTGCACAGCCAGCCTCCACCCCCACCCTGGGCTCCCTCTATCCAACGTTCATTCACCCTTTATTGGGCAATCGTGGGTTGACTCCAGGTCTCTGCTGCCTTCAGTGCTAGGAGCACCAGGGGAACATGGCCGAGCCAGCCCTGGCCCAGAGCCTGGTGGAGGGAGGTCAATGCTCCCAAAATTATCACACAGACATAGGTTTTATTTTAAACGAAGAAATTTGCTTTGGAGGAACTGTGCAGTGTTCTGGAAGCATCTAGGTGGGGTGTCACCTTAAAAGGGATGTCAGAAGAATTTCCTGAAGAGCTGACACTTATGGGTACTAGAGACTGAGTGGGAGTCAGCGAGGCCCTGGGGGTGGGCGGAGGTGTGGACACCAGACATGGGGAACAAGTTGGAGGGAGCAGCTCAGGGACAGGAAACTAGGGTGGCTGGTGGAGTAGGCTGGTGGGGAGTTAGAGACAGGGCAGGCCCCGCTGGCTGGGTCTCAGGTGAAGAGTGGGGTATTGGGAAGGCGGTGGTGCTTTAGTAGTAAGGGGCGGGGCCTTGGTGGAGGGGCTAGACTTTGGCAGTAAGGGGGTGGGTCTTGGGTGAAGGGGCAGAGCCTTGCCTGAATTTGTCCTAAAGATGAGGAGAGGTGTCCGGGCCTGGGAGCAGGAGTGTGACTGTTGTGCCTGCCACGGACCAGCACCCCTCTAGCCCCCTGTAGACGAGGGCCAGTGGGATATGAGCCACGTAGTCGGTTGTCCCGGCAGGAGTGGGGTCAACAGTGGGAAGCGAGAGGCTTGGTGGACTGTGGAGCTGTCCTGGAGGTGAGGGACAGATTTTACCACGTGCTGCTGCCACCATGTCTTTCTGCTTCCCAGCACCTCCTGATGCTCACTCTGTCCTGTCAGGGGGACGCCATAGCAGAGGGTCACAAGGCAGGAGGCACTGGCTTTAGGGACCTGTGACTGGGCACACACTCGCCAGACACGGCAGGAGGTAGGCAGATGGAGCCTCGGTGGGGTGAAGAGCTGTTGGAGTGCCTCTCAGCAGCCCCATCCCCAGCTGCACGCGCTTCCCGCAAACAGGCCAGAGGCAGCTGCAGACCAGGGCAAAAGTCCGGCAGGGCCAGAATGGAAACTCAGACGTCCCTCTGAACCTGAAAACCTGAAGCAGGTAGCTGGGGCACAGGTGGCCACAGGTGGCAGGTCTGTTAACTTTGGGCCTCTCTCCCTCACCTGTGAAAGGTGCACGATAACCCCTGGCTCCCGGTGAGGCTGCGAGGGCCAGGCGCTCTCTCCCCGGGAAAGCGTTTACCACACGGGGTTTTCCCTGAGCCTCTGCCCCGCCAGGAGTGTGAAAGCGAGATAGCACACTCTGTTGGGGGTGGGAGCAGGGCACCCCCTGAGGGAGATGAATGGCACCCCCTTTCTGGTTCAGACACCCTGAAACAGCTGGACTGGGAGGCTGGCAGCCCCAGTGTCCTCATGCATCAATTTGCCATGTGTCACTCCCTGGACTCGGGCTGGGAGCAAGTGGGAAGCCAGACAGACCCTCCCCCCGCCCTCACAGCCCAGGAGAAGGAAGCAACCAGGCAGCCACAAGTCAAGGTGGTGTGAAAGGACGAGGGCAGCAGGGCCTGTCCCAGGCAGTGCTGGTGCCCCAGGTGGGAAAGCGGTGGGGCCTGTGAGGCTGTAGGACCCAAGAGGCCGAGTCTTGAGGTCAGGCTGGCAAGGCCTTGCAGAGCTCTGAGCCGGGGTCAGTCTGATCAGACTTACAGTTCATCCAGGGATGGATAAAAGAAGGCAGGAGTGGAGGAAGGGAGAACTCTGGGCAGTCCGCTGCATTTCCAGAGTCATGGGCGAAGGCAGTGGCCACGGGCCGAGAGAGGGAGGAATAGTTTGGTTTAGAAACCCAGCTCACCGGCAGAAAGAGGCGAGGAGTGGGCCTCTTGGCCCTGGTACTAGCCACATTCTTTGAGAGTGTCTGGAGCAGGGTCGTGACTATCCCATGAGCCCCTAGGACCCATCCAGGAACTATCAGAGTGTGGGAATGGGGCAAGAAGCAAGACCTGCGCCTCTGTCAGTGGTCCACCTGGGCATCACCTCAGCCAGGTCTCAAAGACTGGGTGGTTCCATGGGTGTGGCCCTTGGTACTGACATGTCGCTGCCCCTCTCTGGGGATGATCCCCTTTGCAGTGATAAGGGGACCCAGGAAACCACTGGCAAAGCCCGGGGAGGCTGTGCTGGGGGCCTTGCTGTGTGCAGCCCAGAGGCGGCCCTTTGGTGAAGTGGAAATAGCTCCTGAGGTTTGAAGTTCCGCCCGCTCCACTGACATGGGTTCATTGCGCCTCCTTAGACCTGGGGACAGAGTGGCAGTGCCGATCCCTAAGTCTTTCATGGGTGCATGTGCTCTGTGTTTTAGCGACCCTCAGAAAGATCCTGCAAGGTCCAAAATCTTCACTCCATTTTGAAGGGGGGTGGCCGCAGTCAGGGAGGCGGTCACTCGCCTAGTCACACGGCAGGCTGATGGGCAGCAGATGGGGTCGGAGTCCGGTCTCATCAGCTCCAGAGCTTGTGTTCTTCTGTCTCCACCCGGGGGCAGGGGGTGGCATAGCTGCCCTCCCCAGGGGAGACACCCTGAACCAGAAAGGGGGGGGGGCTCCAGGGTTCAGGGGTAGGCCTGTGACTGCAGCAGGGTCCCTTGGTGTCACCAGCCCTGCCTTCTGTATCCACCCAGATCTACCCCAACGAGAGACACAGTATCCGCTGCCCTGAGTCTGGCGAGCACTATGAAGTCACGCTGCTGCACTTTCTACAAGAATACCTCTGAGGGCCCGTGGGCACTCGGCTGCACATTTAGAGCACAAGTGGCTTCGCCGCCGCCGCCGCCGCCACCACCAGGGGGACCAGGCGGGAAGGAACGTGTGGCCTCACAGCCACCAACCCTGCAGTGCCCTCTCCTCAGCCCCCGCTGGACCACCCCGGGCCCAAGAGCCACCGCCTTCATGTCCCAACGCCTTTTATCATTTTTTAAAATGCTTCTGGATTCTTTGCCTGCTGCTTCTTGGTTGCCAAGATGGAAAGATAAGGCCGACATCCACGAGGCACTTCCTAAAGCCATCCTCTCCTCTTCCCGTTGTCCGGGAGCAGGAGGCCTGAACTCCACCGGCCACCAGACAGGCTGGGTCTGCCTCCTGGGCCCTGACCCACTGCTGCACCCAGCGCAGAAGCATGCAATTGCCTTTTCTCCCCACCTGCCCCATTTCTGATCCACATTTTGTTTTCGGGGACATTTTTCATAATTATTTAAAAGACAGAAAGCAAGGGGTGCCTAAATCTAGAATTGGGGTCTGCCGCTGAGGAACAGGCTTCAGCCCAGTCAGCGCCTGGTGAGCCCCACCTCTTTCGAAGCCCAGAGTGGGAAGTGGTGGCCAGCAGGTGTGAGCGGGGCACATGGTGCAGGGCAGGCCCCCGAGGCCGCCCCTCCCCAGCTTTCAGGTAGGGTCTGAACTCGTCCAGCTTCGGTCTCTGCTGGCTGGTGGCTGCTGCCCACTGCCCAGCCCTCCGGCCACACGTCTGCCTGGCCTGCACAGACCGGTTTCCGGGGTTGGGAATGGAACCATCCCCGCCTCAGGGTTATCTTTACTCCTTCCTTTCCCTCCCTGCCAAGAGTTCGGCCAGGGGCGGGCAAAAAGAAAAAGAAGAAGAAGAAAAAGAAAAAAAAAAAAAAAGCCCACCAGAAACAAACCACCTCTACATATTACGGAAAGAAAATATTTTTGTCGATTCTTATTCTTTTATAATTATGCGTGTAAGAAGTAGGCTCATTAAACGATTCCAGATGGAAGTGTTGCCACCTGCCTGAGGTTTCTTCTAAGCCCTGGGGGTGGTGATGAGGGCTTTTCTGAGTGCAGCGTCCAGATGGTAACAGAGCCAAAGACATGACGGTCCTAGCTGTCAGCCTTGGGCACCAGGACACAAAAGGGGGAGGGCGCCATGCCCTGGCTGGAAGATGCTGCACTCCTCATCAGAGTGGCCCCGTGAGGATGGTCCTCACTGTCCTGATGTGTCACTTGGGAACCCAGCATAGGATGTGGCAGGTGGCCTATACGGTCTGCCCACCTTTCTCAGGGCAACAGCACAACCCAGGATGCAACACCCTTCTCTGGGCCACCATTAGTTCCCTTTGCAGCTGTGCGTGCACAGAGGCTCGACTTGGTGGTTCCAAGGTCAAGAAACCCCCCTTTTGATGTTTGTCCCAATAGCAGAGACCTGGGGAGACTGGAGTCTGTGCCTATATAGATGGCATGTGTGAGCTTCTGACAACAGGATGGCCTTGCTGAGTGCAATCACCCCTTCCATCCTTTGAGAAGCTCCATCTTTATTTTTTTTTACCCTCACCCACGGACATTTTTTCATTGCTTTTTAAAGAGAGGAAGGGAGGCAGAAAAGAGAATGAGAAACATCGATATGAGGGAGAAACATCAATTGGTTGTCTTCTCACATGCTCCCTGACTGGGCATCTTACCCACAATGTGGATATGTGCTCTGACTAGGAATTGAATCTGCAGCCTTGTCTATAGGACGACGCTCCAACCAACTGACCCACACCGGCCAGGGCTCCACTTTTATTTTTAATGGCTTAATAAAATGAATTTAGATATAGAAGGGTATGGAGAGGAAAGACACCCTCCCTCGCACCCAAGAGGTAAGACCTCCTCAGTCTCTTTTTTTTTTTTAAATCCTCACCTGAGGACACTTTTTTTCTGCATTTTAGCGTGAGAGGAAGTGGGGGAGAGAAACATCAATTGGTTGCCTCCCATAAGCATTCCTGCCTCAGGATTATCTTTACTCCTTCCTTTCCCTCCGTGCCAGGAGTTTGAACTAGAGGTCAAACCCACAACCGAGGTATGTGCCTTGACCGGGAATCAAATCTGCAACCTTTCGGTTATTGGACAATGCTTCAACCGAGCCACACCGGCCAGGGCCTCAGTCTCTATTTTTAGTATCTGCATTCTATTCAGCTCTGTGAATATGCCATAACTAATTTTGCCATAAATTATAATGGGATAATACATTATTTGGGGCTTTTTGTACTAATCGGTATAAATCAGGTCAGCTGGCTTCCTCTGTAAAGAGATAGTAAATATTTTGGACTTTGTGGGCCAGATAGTCTGTTCCAATTACCCAGCTTTGCCCTTGTAGTTCAAAAGCAGCCACCAATGTATGTAAATGAGTAGGCATGGCTGTGTGCCGATAAAACTTTATTTACAAAACCAGGCAGCTGGCCAGATTTGACCCACAGGCTATAATTGGACCACCTCTGGTATAAATGATACTGCAGCCAATAGCCTTGTACATATTTTGGGCATATGTGTGAGTTTATTGGGTAAATTCCTAGAATATCCATTTTTAATTTTAAAGAATACTGCCAAATTTCCTTCCAAAGTGAATGCCTCAGTGTACAATTTGCCAAGAGAGAAGTGTGCCAGTTTCTCCATTCCTTCACAAGTGTTATGTGTTATCAAACATTTTTACCTTTGTCAATCTTAGAGGTGAAACATGGCATCTCACAGTAATTTGAACTCAAATTTCTTTTATGTGTGGGAATATTCTCACATGTTGAGACACTTGCTTACTAGTAACCCTATATATGAAGGAAATTTGTCCATTGTCATACAAGTTGCAAATTGAACTGTATTGCTGATTTCAAAATGTTTTACAGATAGGAAGCTCAGTCAATGAATGTTTAAAATCATCTCAGGAACAAGATGTCTTTTACCTAATTCACTGTGAAATGAATTAAGTGGAGATTCACAGTGAACTAGTCGTAAGTCACAGAAAGATATAAATTGGTGAGAAATGGAACACTGGAATTGCCCCAGGAGGCCTGGCAGCCGGCAACCCTCGATCATATCAAGTCAGGGACCCTTCATCAGAACCTCCTACCCCTGCCTCACTTAGGCAGCACTCAGATTGTGATGAGATAACATCCATTGGCCAAACTTCAGTCAGTCACGTTCCTGCCCCAACAGCGAGGTCAAGAAAGGGAAGTAGGGTGCCAACAGAAAGGGGCAATGAATGAGGGGCAGCTACAAAAGGACAAGTGTCTGCTGATGGAAGGTCTCAATATCAGAGGTGGCAGGTTAGAAATGTTTCTTCCTGTTGACACACGGCCACTTGTTTCCTTCACTGCTGGTGGAGGTCCCTTCAGTGGAGGGCCCCTCATGCTGCTTGAGGTTCCCCGTGCACATGCCTGATTCCTTTCCTGGTGGAAGTGCTCGTCTCTTCCCCAACTGACAAGAACCCATATGTGATAGACATAAAACCCTGTGTCATATCAGTTGCAGATATTTTCCTGGTTTATCATTTGCCTTTCAAACATGTTTATGGTATTTAAAAAAAAACCCAAAAACTAGACACATAGGAAATGGCAAAAATAACACAGAGAGTCCTGTATACCCTTCACCCAGCTTGCACCTTAACCATAGTACACTGTCAAACCAGGAAACTGACAGTACAATGCAATGAACTAGACTGTAAACCTTATTCACATTTTATCAGCTTTTGCATGCATTCATTTCTGGGGGGGGGTCTGTTCCACTTTGTCATCTGAGCAGATTCCTGTGACCACCCCCACAATTAGAGCACAGAAATGTTTACTCACCACAGCGGAGCTCCTTCATGCAATCCCTTTACATCCATGCTGACCCCATTTATGGTGTCCTGACACGATGAAGTCTGTGACATTTGTGTCATGGTCAGTCTTTTTTTTTTTTTTTTTTTTTAGGACTGCTGGATTTCATGTCATGAATAGAAAGCAGGATCTTTGAAATGATGGCTTCTTCTTTTAATTCCTTCAGTGTGATATTTTTTCTTTTTGAGGCAAAAAGGAAAAACAAGAGGCTTGGGGTTGTTTTTCTGAGCACATACACAAACAAAATATAAAATAAATAAAACAAATTGACCCCTTTGCAGTAGGAAACCTAGACAGCTCACAGTTGAAATGCAGTGTCCTGTTAGCAACAGCTCTTGGCCATTAATTGAGTTCTTCATAGTGACAGGCTGAAGGGCAGACACAGGGGTGGGAATAGGAAAGATATGAATGGAACCATGCTGTATAAAATACCAAAGAAACAGGACAGCAGTCCAATTTATGGAGTCAATTTCCAATGAGTCCAAAGCAGCCTGTTGCAAGGAGGAAATTTCTTAACACAAGCAGGTATCCCAATTTAGGACAGGCTGCTGCTGCCAAAGATCATGAATTCTGGAGTTAAGGTTATCTGGGGAGCAGTCAGCCTTCTACAGGAGCCTCCTGGCTTTCCTGAAACTGACCTTCATCCTCTGTGCGTGTTGGGGGGGGCGGGGACCTCTGTTGAGAGATTTGAGTTCCTTAAGGAGGGGAATACAGCCCAGCTCAGGCTGTACCTGTGACATTTTCTCTCTGCATTCTGTTCTTTCAAGTCAGGAAGGACTAGGAAAAGGAGCTTAATTTTGGACAATCCAGACATGGCCATTGATATTTTCTTGAAATTCTAAGCAATTTGTGATAAAAAAAAAATTCCTTCTGTAATTGAAAACCTGGAATTTCTTCATTGGCATCTAATGCTAGTAACAGCTAGAATTTAGTTTTTACCTGCATTCCCTCAGTTAATCCTTCTGGCAATCCCTTGAGGTAAGGATAATTTTCTTTTTAATTTTTTATTTTGAAATAGAGTTCCCTGATGTCCCTTGCTCATCTTTCCCTTATGTTAACATGCCAGAATCCAGGTTTTTGAAGCCAGGAAATTAACACGAATACAACTCTATTATACACATATCCAGACCTTATTTGGATTTCAAGATTTCTCCTGTAATGTAATTTTTCTGGTCCAGGATTATTAAGGACTGAATATTTGTGTCCCCCCAAATTCATGTTGAAACCTAACCCCCAATGTGATCGTATTCGTTGGAGTCTTTAGGGGTGGATTAGGTTATGAGGGTGGAGCCCCATGAATGGGATCAGTCTATGAACCAGGAAGTGGGCTTTCAATAGGCAAGGAGTCTGCCAGAGCCTTGATCTTTTACTTTCCAGCCTCCAGAAGTGTGAGAAATAAATGTCATTAAACCCTCAATTCTATGATATTTTTGTTATAGCAGCAAGAACTAAGATAAGGATCCAATTCAGGACTCCCACAGTGCGTTAAGTTTTCTTGCTCTTCTTATCCTGTGATGATTCCTCAGCCTTCGTCTCTTTTTTTTAGATTTTATTTATTTTTGGAGAGAGAGAAACATCAATGTGAGAGACATGGATCCGTTGCTTCTACACGCCTCCAACAGGGACCAAACCTGCAACCCAGGCCTGTGCCGCGACGGGAGTTGGGGGGTGGGGAATCAAACTGGGGAGCTTCGGCTTTGCGGGAGGACGCCCAACCAGTTGAGCCACGCCTGTAAGTGTTCCTTAGCCTTTGTCTTTCGTGACTTTTTGAAGAGTACTTCAAAACGTTTATCTCGTTATCTCAAAACGGTTATCTCATAAAACGTCCCTCAATTCAGCTTTGATGTTTCTTATAATTAGACTGAGGTCAAGCTTTTTGGGCAGGAATTCCAGAGGTGCCGCCGAGAAGGTACATGTTCTCAGTGCATCCTGTGGTGATGCTAACTTTCACCATTGGGCTGAAGTGGTGTCTCCATGGTAAAATTGCCTTTTTCTCGTTGTAATTAATAAGTACCTTGGGGTGGGGCGGAATACTTTGAGACTATGCAAATATCCTGTTTCTCACCATACCTTTTCCACCACCAATTTTTAGCATCCATTAACGGATGGATCTTGGCTGAAACAATTATGAGGTGTTTGCCCAATGGCCATCTTCCATTTCCCTCATACTGTCTATACTTATTAAGTTGAATTTTAATGGCGCTCTTTTATTTTCCTCATTTCTTGTACATTCATTAATTGTAAGAACTGAATGGTCAGTCACATAGTGAGGAACAACAGAACCAAGACCACCTACCCTACGGACAGACCATGGACTGCCAAGCCCCGCCCCGGGGCGGGGCGCCCCGGTCACGTGGTCGCGCTGGCGCTAACGTGGCCTTCGGGAGATGTCCAACGTGTCCCTCGTCGCGCCCCGTCCGCCGTTTGCCTCGCGGACCCGATTCCAACATGGCGGCGCCCAGCGGAAGGAGGAACCGTAGTGGCGGTGCAAGCTTGTGGGCTACGCTGTTCCTGGCAGCCGTGGCGCTGAGGCCAGTAGAAGCGGTGTCAGAGCCCACAACGGTGGCGTTTGACGTGCGGCCCGGCGGCGTCGTGCACACTTTTTCCCAGAACGTGGGACCTGGGGTAACTGCCGCCGCTGTACTGGAGGCTTGAGCGAAATGCCCGGGGGGACGGGGCCTGTGAAGGGGTTGCTACCACAGGAAGAGGACGCTCAAACTTGGGGAGCGGGGCCTGAGGATGGGTGCGGACTTGGAGGCTGGCAACCTTGGAAGAGCTGGGTCACTAGCCTCAGTGCCTGTGTCCTCACATGCCCAGCGTTCCCAAGCAGTCCTATTCCCCAGACCCAGGCGAGTTCCCAGCCATCGGAGGGCAGGGCGGACACAGAGGTGGGGAGAAGGGAGTTGGGGCCTGACAGCTAGGAGTCTCCAGGTCCCGCAGGAGGTTGGCCCTGTTGCAGCTATGACGAGGGTGGAACTGGACAGACATTGCGCTTTTCTTCTATTGCACAAGTTCCGCGTATCTTTTTCAGTGAAGTGTGGGGCTAGGCCCTTCTTTGCCTAGGCAGCAGGCCTGCATCTGGTCCAGCCTTGTCCCCAGCTTGTTGGAAAAGTCGCTGCCTCTTCCATTGTCCTTTTTCATTGTCGCTATTTAATGTTAACTTAACAGCCGGGCTTTGTGCTGAATGCTTTATATGTTAGGCCTATTTTTCAGATGAGGGAGTAGAGGCTTGGACAAGCTTCCACGTGTCCAAGAGCCACAGCAGCGCAGAAATGGGCCCCCAGCTGTTTCTCCTTGGTGTCCCAAAGCCCTAACTCCTAGAGGGGTAGGTGCTAGAGGGGGTGTGGCCTCTTTCCTGTTCTTTATTCCCTAGAAGCCACAGGGGTTGTTTGTCCTGACCCAGGAGCTCACTAGTAGGGAAGCAGGTAGGGGAATTCTAGGTTGTCAGACACCTTGTGGAGCTGGCTTCCAGGGACATCTGCCAGAGGTATCTGCCTCCTTTCCCTTTAGTGCAGATGTTCAAAAGCAGGATCTTCTGGATTCAGGTTCTCAGAAAGACATTCTGAGACCCTGCACCTTAAGCCCTAAGGATAACCTCCTACCAAGCCTTTTTTTTTTTCCATTCCATTTTCTAGGACAAATATACTTGCATATTCACCTATGCTTCTCAAGGAGGGACCAATGAGGTAAGTTGTACAAAATTCCCTGTAATTTAGTCTGGCAATATCTGTTGTCATACAGAGATGCTCTCCAGGGATAGAGGGGTTGAGTTATACATGGGTTAATTTAAACTCATTGAATTATTCTTACTTAACCATTAAAAGTGAGAGTGCTTAAGTTAAGTAGGGATGGTATATCCACTCAGTTTCGCAGAGTGAACAAATGTCTGGACAGAAGAAGAGAAGTGAGATGTGAATCTGCTGTTCCCATGAGCCTCTATTTGTTTTCTATGTTGCCTAACAAATCACCACATACCTAGAAGCTTAAAACAACACCCATTTATTATCTCTCAGTTCTGGAGATCAAAAGTCCTGGCAACTCACGTGAATGTGTCATAAGCCAAAATGAAGGTGTTGGCCAGAATGGGCTCCTATCAATTTATCAGCATAATTCAATTCCTTATTGTGTTAGACTGAGGTCCCCATTTCCTTGTTGGAGGTTTCCCCCAGCAGGTTGCAGAAGAGGAAGTAAGAGAGATTTCAAGCAACAGAAGGGTGCATTGCACCTTTATCTGCTTTGAGGGGACCACATGACTAGAAGTGCAGGTGGCCTTTAGGTGGTAAGAACGGCCCCTGCTGGCAGCAAGGAAACAGGGGCTTCAGTCCTACAACCACAAACAACAGATTCTGCCACACCACAATAACTGGAGGAAGTCTCCAAGCTCCAATGGGAACTGGATTCTGACCAACACCTTGATTTGGCTCAAGAGACAGCGAAGGACCCAGCCCCACCATGCTCTGCCAGACTTTTTTATTTTCTTTTCACCATCTACCCCATCCCTTCACCCTTGGTAACTCAGCTCATTCTCTGTATCTGTGAGTCTTTTACTGGTTTGTTTTGTTTTGCATATGCAATTGGTTTGTTCATTAGATTCCACATGTAAGCAAAACCGTATGATATTTGTGTTTCTCTTTCTGGCTTATTTCACTTAACATAATTATACTCTAGGTACATCCATGTTGTTGCAAATGGCAAGATTTCATTCCTTTTAAGTGCTGAATACCATATCTTGTTGGGTATAATGCGCTCCCACGTGTAATGCGCACCCACATTTTTGGCCCAAACTTTCAGGAAAAAAATCTTTTCGTTTTAATTTTTTAATTCAGTTATTTATTTATTTATATTTAGAAACAAAACCGGTTATTGTATCCCAAGGTATTATTTTGCATATGAATATCGTTATTGCTTTCTAGAGTTACACTTTTTAAAAAATTTATTTATTTATTTATTTAGATGGGGTTGGGGAGAGGGGGGAAGAAACATCAATTGGTTGCTTCTTGCACGCCTCCAACGTGGGACCTCCACGTTGGCCCGCAACCCAAGCATGTGCCCTGACTGAGAATCGAACCAATGACCTTTTGGTTTGCAGGCTGGTGCTCAGTGCACTGAGTCACATTAGCCAGGGCTAGAGTTACACTTTTAATGCATAAGCATGAATAAAAGAATGAAAAACATTTATATGGGTGTGGAATTAGTACTACCCATGTATAATGTGCATCCTTATTTGTCCCTCAAATATTTAGGCAAAAAAGTGTGCATTATACATGGCGAAATACAGTAATATCCCATTGTGTATACACACCACATCTCTTTATCCATTAATCTGTGAATGGACTTGTAGGTTGTTTCCACATCTTGGCTATTACTAGTAATGCTGCAAAAAACATAGGTGTGCATAGATCTTTTTGAATTAGTGTTTTTGTTTTCTTTGGATAAATACCCAGAAGTGGAATTGCTGGATCTTGTGGTAGCTCTATTTTTAATTTTTTGAGGACTCTCTATACTGTTTTCCATGGTGGCTGCGTCACTTTACAATCCCACCAACAGTGTGCAAGGATTCCCTTCTCTCCATACCCTCGCTAACACTTGTTTATTCATTTATTGATGATAGGCATCTGACAGATGTGAGGTGATATCTCATAGTGGTTTTGATTTGTATTTCTATGACAAATAGTGATGTTGAGCATGTTTTTATGTCTCTTGGCCATCTGTATGTCCTCTGGGGAAAAATGTCTATTCAGGTCCTCTGCCCATTTTTTCATCTGATTGCTTGTTTTTTTGTTACCTTGTGTATGAGTTCCTTATATATTTTGGATAGTAACCCCTTATTGGATGTATTATTTGCAAATGTCTTCTATTCATTAAGCTGTCTTTTTGTTTTTGTAATGGCTTCCTTCATTGTGCAAAAGCCTTTTAGTTTGATGTAGTCCCATTTGTTTATTTTTTCTTTTGTTTCCCTTGCTCAAGGTGATATATCTAAAAAGATATTGTTAAGAGCAATGTCGAAGAATTTACTATATATATTTTCTTGTAGTAATTTTGTGGTTTCAGGGCCAAAATTTAGGTCTTTCATCAATTTTGAATTTGTTTTTATATACGATATAACAAAGTGGTCCAGTTTCTTTTTTTGGCACGTATCTGTCCAGTGTTCCTAACACCACTTATTGAATAGACTGTCATTACCTCAGTGTTGTATGTTCTTGTCTCATTTGTTGTAGATTAATTGACCATATAGGTGTGGGTTTATTTCTGGGCTCTCTATTCTGTTCCATTGACCTATGTGGGTTTTTTTTTTTATGCCAGTACCATGTTGTTTTGATTTTTATAACTTTGTACTGTAGTTTGAAATTAAGGAGCGTGATACTCCACCTTTGTCCTTCTTTCTCAGAATTGCTTTGGCTAGTTGTGGTATTTTGTGGTTCTGTATACATTTTAGGATTATTTGTTCTAGATATGAGATTAGTGTTATTGTTATTTTGATAGGGGTTGCATTGAATCTGTAGATTGCTTTGAGTAGTATGGACATTTTAACGATATTACTCCTTTCAATCCATGAATACAGTAAATGCTTTCATTTAATTTGTATCTTCAATGTCTTTTAATTTTTGGTGTACAGGTCTTTTACTTTCCTGGTTAAATTTATTCCTAGGTAGTTTATTCTTTTTGATGCAGTTGTAATTGGGATTGTTTTCCTAATTTCTCCTTCTGATTGTTTGTTATTGGTGTATAGGAACACAATGGATTTCTGTATATTTTGTATCCTGTTACTTTACTGAATTCTTTTATTAAGTAATTTTTGGTGGATTCTTTAGTATTTTCTATATATAGTATTATGCATTACAAATAGTGACAGTTTTACTTCTTCCTTTCCAGTTTGAATGCCTTTTTGTTTTCCTTGCCTGATTGCTGTGGCTAGGACTTCCAATACTGTGTTGAATAATAGTGGTGAGAGTGAGCATCCTTGTCTTGTTCCTCATCTTGGGGAAAGAGCTTTCTGCTTCTCACCATTGAGTGTGATATTAACTGTGGGCCTATCTTATATGGCCCCTGTCATGTTGAGGTAAGTTTCTTGTATACCCACTTTGCAGAGAGTTTTTATTATAAAAGGATGTTGAATATTGTCAAATGCTTTTTCTGCATCTACTGAAATAATTATATGATTTTTATATCAGTTTTGTTGATGTGATGAATCTATTAATTCATCACATCCATATATGGATGTTTACCAGCCTTGTATTCCTGGTATAATCCAATTTGATGGAGGTATATAATCCTTTTAATGTACTGTTGAAATCAGTTTTGCTAGTATGTCATTGAGAATTTTGGCTTCTATGTTCTTCAAGGATACTGGTCTGTAAATTTTTTTTTTGTTTTTTTTTTTTTGTAGTGTCCTTGTCAGGTTTCATGTCAAGGTATTGCTGTTAGAATGAGTTTGGAAGCATTCCTTCCTCTTCAACTTTTTTTTTGAATAGTTTGAGAAAGATAGATACTAATTCTCCTTTAAATGTTTGGTAGAATTAAACTGTCTGGTCCTGAGCTTTTGTTTGTTGCGAGTTTTGTGATTACTGTTTCAATTTCATTGCTCCTAATTGGTCTGTTCAGATTCTCTGTACTTCCTGGTTTAGTCTTGGAAGGTTGTATGTTTCTAAAAATTTACCATTTCTTCTATATCGTCCAATTATTGGCATATAATGGTTTATAGTATTCTTTAATGATTCTATTTCTGTAGTGTTGGTTTTAACCTCTCCTCTTTCATTGCTGATTTTATTTATTTGTGTTCTCTTTTTTCTTCATCAGTCTTGCCTAAAGGTTTGTCAATTTTATTCTTTCAAAGAACCACTTCTTAGTTTCAATAATCTTTTCTGTTGTTTTTCTGTTTTCTGTTTTGTTTATTTCCACTCTGATCTTTATTTTTTCCTTCTTTCAATTTACTTTGAGTTTTGGTCATTATTTTTTAGTTGCTTTAGATGTAAATTTAGATCGTTTATTTGGGATTTTACCTGCTTCTTGAGATAGGCCTGTGTAGCTTTAAACTTTTCTCTAATAACCGCTTTTGCTGTATCCCAGAAATTTTGTAAAGATGTTTTCATTTTCTTTTATCTCAAGGTAGTGTTTGTTTTCCTCTTTGATTCATTGGTTGTTTAGAAGCATGTTGTTTAATGTCCACATATTTGTGTTTTTTCTAGTTTTGTTTTTTTTCTGTAGTTGATTTCTAGTTTCTTGCCATTGTGGTCAGAAAAGATGTTTTAATATCATTTCAATGTTCTTAAATTTATTGAGCCTTCTTTTGTGGCCTAGCATATGATCTGTCTTCAAAAATGTTCAATGTGCGCTTGAGAAAAAAGTGTTATCTGAAGGTTTTGGATGAAATGCTCTATAAATGTCTATTAAGTCAAACTGGTTTAATGTGACATTTAAGGCCATTATTTCTTTATTAACTTTCTGTCTGAATGATTTATACATTGAGGTAAGTGAGTATTAAAGTACCCAACTATTACTGTTTTATATCCTCTTCTTGGACTGATCTCTTAAAATTATGTAGTCCTTCTTTGCTGCTTATTAGAGATCTTACTTTAAAGTCTATTTTGTCTGATATCAGTATTGCTACCCCAGCTTTTTATTGTTCCTGTTTGCATGGAATATCATTTTCCATTCCCTCACTTTTCCTCTGTATGTCTCTTTCAGTATAAAGTGAGTCTTTTGTAAGCAGCATATAGGTGGGTCTCAGACATTTACCATCCAATGTCTTTGTAGAGCATTTCCTTTACATTTGAAGTAATTATTGATAACCATGTGCTCATTGCCATTTTCTTAGTTGTTTTTGTTGTTCCCTGTTCCTTTCTTCTTGATTACTTTTGATTTGTTTTCTTTTGATTGGATTCTTTTCTCTATTTTGAGGGGGGTTTTTTTGGTATATTTTTGGTTACCATGAGGTTCACACATATCCATCTATGAGAATAGTAGTTTGTTTTAAGGTGATAGGCATTAAGTTCAATTGCATTCTAAAAGCACTGCACGCTTACTCCCCTCTCCACTCTTTGTTTTTGATGTTATGTCTTACACATTTTTGTTTTGTGTATCCCAACTATTTATTGTAGTTACAGTTAATTGTGCTACTTTTGTCTTTTAATCTTCATATTAGCATTATAAGTGGTTGAGTCACTATAGTTATTGTATATTTGCCTTTGCCAGTGAGATTTTTTTTCTTTCCAATATTTTCTTATTTCTGGTTGTGGCCTTTTCTTTTCTGCATAAAGAAGATCCTTTAACATTTCTTTGTATGGCTGGTTTAGTGATGAGTTCCTTTAGTTTTTGCTTGTCTTGGAAACTCTTTACTTATTTTTCAATTCTGAGTGATAACCATGCTGGATATAGTATTTTATGTTGTAGATTCCTTTCTTTCAGCACTTAAGTATTTCTGCCACGTCCTTCTGGCCTGTAAAGTTGCTTCTGAAAAAGTTGCTCCTAGCCTTATGGGGTTTCCCCTGCACGTGACTTCTCGTTCCATCTTGGTGCTTCGTGTTGTCGTTGAGATCTCTTGTACTACAATCGTCAGGTTTGTTTTGTTTTTTTTTAACATTTTATTTATTTATTTTTAGAGAGGGGAAGGAAGGGAGAAAGAGAGGGAGAGGAAAACATTGATGTGAGAGAGAAATATTGATCAGTTACCTATTGTACATGCCCTGACCTGGGACCCAACCTGCAACCCAAGCATGTGCCCTGACGGACAATCAAACTGGCGACCTTTCGCTTTGCGGGACAGTACCCACACTGAGCCACACTGGTCCGGGCCTGTCCTTAGTTTTTAAAATTCTTATCATTTTGCTCTTCAGATTGTGTGAGTTCCAGTATTCTGTATTCCAGGTCACTAATTTGTTTTTCTGTTTTAACTAATCTGATGTTGATTCCTTCTAATGTGTTCTTCATTTCAATTACCATGTTCTTCATCTCTGATTGGTTCTTTATTACATTTTCTATTTCTGTTGAAGTGTTATCTGAATTCCTCTAAAGTTTGTTGAGCATTATGGTCATTTATCTTTTTATACACACACACACACACACACACACACACACATTTAAGTAACTTTAATTTTTTTTATTGATTGATTTTAGGGGAGGGAAGGGAGAGAGAGAGAGAAAGAGAGAGAGAGAAATGTCAGTTTGTTGTTCCACTTACTGATGCATTTATTGCTTGCCTCCTGGATGTGTCCTGACTGAAGATGAACCTGAACCTTGGCATATCAGGACAGCACTAACCGACTGAGCTACCTGGCCAGGGCTATTTAGATTCTTTATCAGGCAAATTACTTCTCTCCATTTCATTAGGGGTTTTCATTTGTTGTTGTTGTTGTAGTTGTTGTTACTTGTTTTTTTTCATTTGGGACATATTCTTTTGCCTGCCCATTTTGTTTGACTTTCTGTGTTTGTTCCTATGAGTTGGATGGAATAGCTGTCTCTCCCAGTCTTGAAAAAGTGGCCCCTGTGTAAACCATGTGTTGGATAGTTTTGGCAGGCCAGTTATTGTTGGGATAGGTGCAGGTGGTGCCTGGTGTGTCACTTGGCTTATAGGAGTGGATTCTGGGTGGGGCAACCTGGTGTGGGCGGGACAGCTGGGTGTGTGCTTTGCGGGCGCCGTTGCTTTGTCTATTGGCAAAGCAGGGTCCCAGCAAGGCCTCTCTGTGTGTTTGTCTCAGTGTCCTGCTAGCTCTGCCCTTTCTCCTTGCAGGGGAGCCTGGCACAAGTGCACTGACTCAGCAGTGCCCACTCACTCTTCTTGGGGCAGTCCTGTGTGTGGGCACTGCAGCATTTTGCTAATTCCACATTTTCATTGGGCGGAGATGCGCCCCATGAACGCACAGTAGCAATTCCCTATTTCTGCACTTTCTTTGGACAGGGTAGCCCTGAAGGCAGGTACTGCAATATTTTGCTAGTTTTGTACTCCTCCCAGGTCAGGGGCTCCACATACACACAACAGCCCAGTGGATACATGAAGCCACACCTTGTCATACCTGCTGGATCACTCTCAGGTGGAGGGGCCCCTGTGTGCATGCTGTGGCGCCCTCCGGTTCTGCTGGATATGGCTGGAACTGGCTGAGGACCTGCAACAGCGCCTGCAGTTTGACCAGAGAACCTGGATGGAGCCCACCCTCTGTCCACGTGCGGGGGAACATAAACAGTGGCGCTCACTGGTCCCTCTGATCCTGGGTTCCTCAGTGCGCAGACAGCTCTCTCACCCTCTTCTCTGTGGTTTCTCTCTTGCTTTTTGTGCAGAAGCTGTTCAGTTGGCTCACAGTTGTCTCTCAGGAGGAAGTGCTCTAAGTATGACATCTGCTCTTGGGAGGGGCTCGCTCAGTGTCAACCTTCAGCCCCATCCTGGACTCGCCTTTTCAATTGTACACTTTAAATGGGTGGATGCTACAGTGTGTGTAAACCAGTAATTGGTTCCTACATCTGTGCTCCAGGCAAAAGGCATCTGACTATTTACTCCCATGATAATTAACATAAAAATGGCCTTGTTTCCATTAATGAAAAAGCTCTGGTGTTAAACCGGTAATTGGAGTCCGTAATTACTCCTGGGAGGGGACTGTAAACTCATTTTACCAACCGCCTGCGGAAGTGCCTCTGGCGGCCGGAAAGGTGGCTGTGGGTTTTCCATTTCCATTTGGCCGGGATTTCAGAGGTCATGGAAACTAGAATATACTAGTAGTGGTGTGTTTTGGAACTAGTTTAAAATTTTAATTTTAAAAAAGCTAATTCATTTTCATTATCCAAAACGAAAAACATACAAAAGGTGATAGCGCCTTCTACTTGTCCAGTTCCTGCCCACGGCCAGCGCATAACCACAGCTATTAAAATGTTGTATCTTTTCTGAGGACTTTCTAATGCTTCAGCAAGCATTGCAGGCATGAGTGCACTGTCTTCCCTTTTCATTTTGTTTTTATTTGTTAATAGACATTACATTTTAGAGCAGTTCTAGGTTCACAGCAAAGTGGAGCAGAAGGCATAGAGATTTTGATACATCCCCTGCCCCTCCCCACATGCACAGGCTCCCCGTTATCGACATGCCCTACCAGGGTGGGACATTTGTTACAGTCAGCGAACTGCACTGTTACATCATTGTCACCCCAAGTTCATAGTTGACATTAGGGTTCACTCTTGGTGTCTGTTTATTTTGTGGGTTTGGTCAAACGTAAAATGACATGTGCCCAGAAGTGTAGTTTCACACAGAGTAGCTTCACTGGCCCTGAGCAGAGTGTGGGGGCACCTGGGGTCCAGGCTCCAGCCAGGAGGCCCAGGAAAGCTCCACTCACCTTGCACAACTGGAAGGAAACCCGAGGCCCTCAGAGCTAGTCCGCGCACAGTCAGCCTGTGTGTCCCGAGCTGACCCATGGCTTTCTCCTCTCCCTAGAAGTGGCAGATGAGTCTGGGGACCAGCGAAGACTACCAGCACTTCACTTGCACCATCTGGAGGTGAGCTGTGGGTCCCAGCGGTGGGGTCTCCCGGGAGGGGTTGCCCTGGCTCAGGCTGCCGAGGGTGAGTGACTGCACGGCCGCTCTGAGGGGCACGCAGAGGGCGGGCCACGCTGTGCTGGGACTTGGCAGGGGCCAGCGGGCTCCCCAGGGGAGCACATGGCACTGAGGCCAAGAGGAGGTTGTAGAGACTGGGAAGGGCAGTCCAGGCAGTGGCCACGGCACCAAAGAGTGAGGTCGGGCTCCCCAGATGCTCCTCTGTCACTGTCACCCTCAGTGGCGTTCATGGTTCATGGGCTCAGTCTCCCCACCAGGGACTGATGCCTCGTTCCGCCGTCTCAGATCCCCACTGCCGGCGCCCGGCTCGGTGAGAGCATGGGAAGCCCAGGAAGGGCTGGGGAGGCAGCGCGGCCCTGGGCGGGGAGGAGGGTGATGGGGCTGCCTGGAATCATGTCCCTCCTCCCCGGGCTCCTTTGCCTGGAATGTGTCACCCCAATTTGGTGACAATCTGGAATGTGTCAAGAACCGATTTCTTGAGCATTTCTTGTGTGCCTGACAGAAAAAGTCCAGGCTGTGGCTCCACCCTTGGGACCAGGGTCCACACAGGAGACAGCTCCACAAACTGGACACAGTGGGAAAGCAGGGACTCGACATTAATTAAAGGACACAGGGTGTTTTTGTTTGTTTTGATTTCATTGGGGTGACATTGGTGAATAAATGACATAGGCTTCAGGGGTGCAGCAAGGACATGGCGTGCTTTAGTCACCCCTGCCGGCGTCACCCCATGGTCCCTGCACAAATGGCAGGCGTTTACCGAGGGCTCTTGGGGAGATTCTGATCCTTCTGCCGGGCTCCCCCAGGGGCAAGGAGCCCAGCGTCCTCATCAGGCCAGACCCTGCCTGTGTCACCTCTCCTGGCCCCAGAGAGAAGCATCACAGGGGACAGGGCCTAGGGTGCGCTCATTACAGGGGTCGCCTTCTACCGTGTGTCAGACGCCTCCTCTCATGGGGCACATGAACGCCAGCCTTCCGGTGGCACAGACCCCGGCCACGCAGGCCCGAGTATGCACTCATCCCCAGGTACCCGCTCAGCTGAGGTCTGGCCTAACGAGGCCCAGCCTCCGGGTCTCAGCTACGCACCAGCCCTCTGTCCCCGCAGAGGCCTGGACAGGCGGAGGCTCCCTGGGTGCCCCTCCCCAGCCCCGCAGCCGCCTCCCTGGCCCCTCTGCTGCCGTTTCTACTCCTGCCCCCACTGCCCTCTGGTTTCCACGCATGGCCTGTTGGAGCTTTTCATGCTGCAGACATCATCGTCCCCTCGCTGTCACCAGTCATCCTCTTTTGGCTCCTCTGCTCTGGCCATGCTGACCTCATGTTCCTTAACTGTGCCCACTTGCACCTCTGAGGGAGCTCTGCCGGGGCCAGTCCTCCCCCTCCCCCTCCCCCTCCAAGGTAACACCTGTGCTTCTCACCCTTTGGGATGCTGCTGTGGCCCCCTTGCAATACCCGGATGTCATTGGCACTCGGTACAAAGCATTCAGCGAACAAGCATGAGGGCCCCTGTCCTAGAACAGCTTCCCCCCAGAAGGGGAAGGAGGCGGTCAGTAAAACGCCGGAAGAGCATCTGGCAAGGGCAAGGGGGGATGATGTCGAAGGGCCCTGTCAGCACTTTGCGGAGTCGGCAGTGCCTGGGAACACGCGGCCCTGGGCTGGCACCTCACCCTACCTTTCTCTGCAGGCCCCAGGGCAAGTCCTATCTGTACTTCACACAATTCAAGGCAGAGGTGCGCGGTGCTGAGATTGAGTACGGCATGGCTTACGTGAGTAGCAGCTGTGCACATCTGGGTGGCTGCCTGGGGTGTCCCACTGGACAGCACCTTTCTGAGCCCTGGGGGGACAGGCAAGATGAGGAGATGGCCAGACCCTGCCTGTGCCACCTGTCCTGGAAGTGCAGAGGAGAACACGGTGTATTGCAGACCCCCAAGTCTGGAGGTGCAGCGGGAGAGGCAGTGGTGCTGCCCAGAGGGGCACCTGCTGACCCCTAGAAACCCGGCAGGTAGGCAGAGGAGGAAGTGGACACCCTGACCTCCTCTCCTGTTGTCCGCCAGCCTCCTGCTGGTGCCCCTCATTGGAAACGCCAACAGGAAGCTAGAGGGCAGGGTGGCCCAGACATTCAGCTTTGAGACAGGAACAGGGACAGCAAGGGTGGCAGTGGCCCCGGAGGGGCAGGTGGTGTGGCTCACTGGTGTGTGTGTGGAGGTCCACACCCCTTGGCCCCACGGGCCTGTGGTGTGTGGCCCAGGCTGCGTCTTCCGCTGCACGCACTCCCAGTGCCTGTGGCCCTTCCAGAGGCCGCGCCACAGAGCCCGCCGTTTCCACGTCAGGGGCGGAGAGTTTGGAAACCACGTGTGTCAGTCCAGGTTCAAGCAAGAAACAGAACCAGTAGGAAGCAGGCATTCAAGATTTATTGCCAGGAATTGGCTCTGTCGCGGGGGGTTGCAAGCAGCTCCAGAGTCCGCGGGCCAGGAGGGGCTGGCACTTGGGGCTGGCACTTGGGCGCACGCTGCCGCCACTGCCGCCGGGCGGGGTTTCTTCAGGGAAGCCACAGCTCTGCTCTGAAGGCCCCTCGCAGTGACTGAGGCAGGCCCAGCCAGGTTATCCAGGAGGAGAGTCAGCTCGGGAGGCGTTCCTCTCACACGCGCAGGAGACCTTTGCAGCAGCGCCGAGCGAGAGGGTCGTTGCATGACTACAGCCATGGCTGCTTCTGGGTGACACGACAGACTGACTGTCACACCTTTGAACTAATTACTCTGTAGGGTCCCTTCTTACTTTAAAACTATTATTTTAGCTGATTTGAGAGATGCAGAATTCTGATTTTTAAAAATTACATTCAGGAGACTGCTGTGCTTGTCCTATTTCCATAAATTAAAGAAAAAATTGAATTAAATACTTTCTTCCTAGGATTTGCAGGGAAGGCACAAAATTTTAAGCCACTTGACAGTCTCTTATGGGGATTAACGAGCCACTTCTGGATTCTCTTGTGTGCTCAGAGAAGTGTCACCTGGCTTTTCAGTAAAAGACGAGGTCTTTAGTCCTTGCCTTTTGGGAAAGCAAACCAAATCCTGTTCTTTCTTGATTAGCTAAGTTTCCACTTTTTTCCTTTCAGTCTAAAGCTGCGTTTGAAAGAGAGAGTGATGTTCCCCTGAAAAATGAAGAATTTGAAGTGACCAAAACAGCAGGTGGGTAACGATGGATTATGGGCATGGAACCCAGATCCGCGGGGGAGGTGGGTGCGAGGTGACAACAGAAGGCCATCAGGGGCCCAGGCGGTGCGGGTGGGCCGTGCTTCAGGCCACATGCAGACTGTCGGCCAGGCATCTGCGAACGGTTCCTGTGAAGAGCTCCATAGTAAATATTTTCAGTTTGGTGGGGCAGGTGGCCTCTGTTGAAACTGCTCAACCTGTCCCCACCAGGCAAAGGCCATTCCCTGTGGCAGTGAATGGTGTGGCTGTGTTCTAACAAAACTTTAATACTTTACAAACTTGGAAATGCGAATGTCATATTACTTTCCCCTATCACAAAATACCATTTTTTAAATCTTTTTGTTAAAGCTTTTTAAAAGTGTAAAAAATTCCCCTAGCTCAAGGGTGGTGGGCCACACTGTGCTAATGCCTGGTCGGTAGCTGACAGCACGAGAACATCCTCTGCTCCGCGGGAGGGCTGTGGCCTCCGCACAGCCTGGCTGTCCCGGGCTCTGTGACCAGGCACAGCTTCAAAAGGCTGGAACCTTGTGAGTTCCTGAGGGGCCCCCATCCCAGTGCTCTGAGCCACATTCAGCCACAAAGGGCAGGTACTGAACAGAAGGGCGGGGAGCTCCGGAGTCGGCGCTTGGGGGTCCAGAGCAAGGGCGGACAAGCCAGTGGTTAGGACAGTGGGCGTGGGAGCTAGCCGAGTGGGGAGGACCCCAAAGGCCCTTGGTTTCAGGGAAAGATGGGGTAAAGGAACCCACGTGGCTGTGGATGTCACCAGGCATGGAACCTCTGGGAAGGCGATGGCAGGGGCAGGGGCTTTAGGGAGGAGACTGGGTCTGGATAGAGCCCCTCCTGCAGACCCCTCAGGGTGTGGGTACCATTCAGAGTAGAGGTCAAGGACTGAGGGTGTTGGGTTGTGGGTAGACCCCGAGCCCCAGCGCACACAGTGCAAGGCGCTCAGGGAGCTGGGGCCCAGCTAGTGTGGCAGACGGTGGTTGCCAATTCCCTGACCCTGCTGTAGAAGCATCATAGGTTCCTCGGACAAGCCTGTTGGTGTGAGCAGGTGGTGATACAGCCCAGCTCCCAACCTCTTTCCTCCTCAGTGTGCCAGAAATGACCATAGTTCTTCCCACCCTGAGTTTTCCTGAGGAATCCAACTGCCCTCAGGACATGGCAGCCAACCTCTTCCCCCTTTTCTGTACTCTTACCATGAGACTTTCGGGGCTGGGGTCCTTGCTATGTGCAGTCTGCTTTGGGGACCACTCTCTGGCTCTGCCAGACTGACCACCCTACACTGGGCCTCCCCCTGTGCCCAGGAACACAAGTGTGTCTCAAGGGCCCTACCACGTGTTCCTTCTTTTGCAGTGTCCCACAGGCCCGGGGTGTTCAAGGCCGAGCTGTCCAAGCTGGTGATCGTGGCCAAGGCATCACGCAGTGAGCTGTGACCAGCAGCGCCTTCAAGGGCGGCTTTCCCTCATCTCCTCTAAAGGGGCCGGGCTCTGTGAGGACTGGCACATTGTTGGTTTTCCGCCCTGGCTGTTGTTGCCCTGCCTGGAGGGGCCCGCAGGATGGCTGTGGCCCTGGGACAGAGTCCAGGGGCCAGGAGACTGGGGGTGTCCTCGGTCTCCCGTGGCTCCTCGCCTTCCCCAGCCCTACCCCACACTCGCTCTTGAACAGAGTATGGGTCTAAGCCCAGCTCTTGTCCTGCCAGGAGAAACATCAGCACAAGGTGGGGTGGGGGGGACACAGCTTTTCTGAAGCCAGCGTGTCTCCCCGTGGGGTCAGGCTGGACTCTGGACGTTCCAGGGAAGAATAGCCCTGCTATCCTCTGACCCCAAGCTGACTGTTTTCTCACAGTTTCCCCAGGAGACCACTTTCAGACTAATTGGGAAGAAATGAAATGTTCTTTTGTATTTAAATAAAGAAATTGAAAAGGAACTGCATAGACTGGGCATCTCATGCTGGCGCCCACCTGGCCGGGCGTGAGGGGCCGGGGGCCTGGCCGCCCCATTCCCTGTTGGAAACAGGCAGGCTGTTCCCCAGGGCCCGTGGAATCCCTAGGCACACCTTTTCTGCGGGCACAGGAGCAGCAGGTCCTGAGGCAGGCGGCTGTGCACCTGCTCCGGGCTGGGCACAGCGCCTCCCTGAACACGTGGGGCAGACCCCGCCACTTCCAGCGCGTCACACAGGCGTCCCTAGTGGAGGGCCAGTGCTCCAGGGCAGACCTGCTCTTCTGACCCTGGTGATGCCTGCCTTAGTTTTGAAAAGCCAGGTTGCAGGATGGTGATTTAAAAACAACAACAAAACAAAGAACACCCACAGGCAAACAAAAATAAGGGAAACCCAAAAATACCCAGTCACTCAGAGGGGCCTTGGCTTTCCAGCAGTGTGGGGGCTGGAAGTCTGACCTCTGGCTTGACCTCCAGCCTGACCTCTGTCTTCATGAGCAAACAAGGGGAAAAGAAACTGTGGCTATGAAGTGGGGTCCTTCCTAATTGGAATCACCATGTTGGATCAATGGACGCCTCTAGGTTTCACTCACCTTGTGCCACCCTGAGGGCATTTGGGTTCCTGCCAGAAGTCTCACACCCGTGGGAAGCAGAGCGAGGCTCCCGTCTGTCCGCACCCTCAGTGGGCCCTGGAGTCAGGTCCGTTTCAGACCGAGGTACGCAAAGAATAACTGTTCTCAGAGCAGATAGCCATTGAAGAGGGGCCTCGGGCCCCAGCGACGTTCAGGGGGGAGACTCGGCCAGCCATAACCTGTAAGCCACGTGCACTGCCGCCTCATGGGACGCTCTGAAGGCTGCACACATCCACAGGGGTGGCCACTCAACTAAGAAGGTCCAGCCTCTAGGTCTGGTGAGCACAGCCAGCTGCAGGTCGCAGAAGGACCAAGAGATGATCACCCAGGACCTCCTGCCAAACGGGGCAGTTAGACACTGAGCCCTGAGTGTCAGCAGAGGGGAAGGGGATTTTTCCACAGTCAGCTCTGAGTCAGCACTACCAAATCCCTGGGTGTCACCAAGGAGACAGAACAGGGGGTGTGGTGCACCAGGACATGGGAGGGCATCCATGGACACAAAGATGCTTCCCCTTGCCCCCATGTGACACATACATGCACCTTCATGTAGCTTTCAGGTACTTTAAATAACAAAGCCACACCGACACCAGGACCTTCTCGCGAGGAGAAGCTGAACTAAACCCCAGTTTGGCGTGCAGAAGCTGAGCTCTGCCACTCCCTAGGCTATCGTCATGGTGCCCGGTACAACAGAAATCGAGCCTCCTGGCAAGGGCCACAGATGTGTGATGTTCACCTGCAACCTCGATTTAAAAGGCAAAAACTGGTCAAACTTCTGGTCAGATGACAGACTGAAGAAACACTACTACCCCCTCCCGTGACCACAACTAAATTACAGAAGAACCATTCTTAAGAACCACCTACCTGAAGAGTAGCTGAACACAACTCCTATTACTAAGGCTATAAAGCCATGTGGAGACCGGTAGGAAAGACAGAGATGAGGAATGGGCAAGTCCCATGCCAAAGTGTGGCAATTAAGAATTGGCAGGGACTTCACGACTACAGAGGTGTCCCCTGAGGAGCAAACGGTCCCAGCCCTACATTGCACAGGGGGCACCGGGATTGCACAGGAAGCAGGGATTGCTTCCAGGAGAGACAAAGGGCCGGTAGAGACTAAGTGCTATTTTTTTTTTTCATCCTTACTGGATGATATGCCTGTTGACTTTCAGAGCAAGAGGAAGGGAGAGGGGGCAGAGGGAGAGAAACATTGATCAACTGCTTCTCGCACACGCCCTCACTGGGGCTGGAACCTGCAAGCCCGGCATGTTCCCTGACTGGGAATCAAACCTGCGACCTTTCAGTTAACGGGACAATGCTCTGACCAAGTGAGCCACACTGGCTAGGGCTGAGGTGCTTTTCTTAAAGGGCTTAAGAACAGGCTCACTCATTCACAAACTAAGCTCCAGTGCAGGGGTAGCTGTTCAAAAAGCACCAGGGACATACGGAAAATAACTAAATTGACTAATTTCAGACAAGCCTACAGGGGCAGGGAGTGGGGCAACTCTGGAATCAAAAATACTGGCAGACACCATTGCTCCTTTGTTGAGCCCGCCCCCAACCCCACTGGCCGAAGCAGGCAGGCACCAAATCTAAGTTCTCCATTCACCTGGCTAACACCGTTCATCCCACCTTGGTGATGCTCTGAGACCCCACCCCACCCAACTCGCTCAGCCAGCCGGAGCTGCTTGCAGCGGCTTTTCCACACAAGCAGCCTGCCTCGGCTCACACTGCATATTTTCCCCCAAATCCACAAACCTCACACGAGTGGTGGCTGCCCTAGGCTTGTGCTGCATACTTCTCAAAGTTCTGCAAATCCCAAAAAAAGCAGTGGCCAGCCTTGATGTGTGTTGTAACAATTGCCAAGCAGCTCCAAGCCCAGCACAAACTGTGACCAGTCTCAGCTTGAATTTCAACTCCCATCAGGTGGCCCCAAGCCCGGCACAAGTGGCAGACAGTCTTAACTTGGAGCATAGCTTCAGCGAAGCAGTCACAAACCGGACACGGTGGCAGCTGGCCTCAGCTTGTGGTGTAGTGCCCTCCAACGGGCCCCAAGCCTGGCACAAGTTGCCGCTGAACTTGGCCTGTGCTAGAGCCCCTCCCAAGAGGCTCCAGATTGAAAACATCCAGTGCCTGGCTTCACCAAAGCCCTGTTAGAATGACTCCCGCCCCTTGGGGTCATCCCTCACACAACTCACCACTGTGATGGCTGGTCACTGATGGGTTGTGACCAGCCATCACAGGCCACCAGCCTGAAGGTCAGCCCCACCCACTGACATGCCAGCAGCAATCAAGGCCCAACTACAAGCAGGCACACTCAACCCACACGGGACGCGCCTGGGGCACTCAGCTCAGGCGACCAAGGACACCACTGGGACCCACAGGACACCTACTAGATAAGGCCATTCTGTCAAGAACGGGAGATATAGCAGATCTACATAATACATAGAAACAATTACAGGAAGGCAGCCAAATTGAGAAGACAAAGAAACACCCCAAATGAAAGAACAGGACAAAACTCTGGAAAAAGAACTATATGAAGCCCTGACCAGTGTGGCTCACTCAGTTTGGTGTCATCCTGCAAAGCGAAAGGTTGCCAGTTGTTCCTGGTCAGGGCACCTGCCTGGGTTTCGGGTTCAGTCCCTAGTCGGGTCACATACAAGAGTCAACCCATCGATGTTTCTCTCCTTCTCCCCCTTTTTCTAAATATAAATAAACAAAATCTTTTTTTTTTTTTAAAGAACTAAGTGAAATGGAGACAATCTATCAGATACAGAGTTCAAAACACGTATAAGGATTCTCAGTGAACTTAGGGGAAGAATAGATGAACTTATAACTTCCACAGAGTTTTAAAACATTAAAAGGGGGGTTGAAAAGAAACAAATGAAAAAGAACCAATCAGAATGAAGAATACAGTAACTGAAATGAATACCTAGAGGGAATCAACAGCAGATTATATGAAGCAGAGGGTCAAATCAGCAATTTGCAAGATAAGGTAGGAGAAAAATACCCAATTGGAACAGCAAAAAGAAAAAAATTTTTTAAATGAGTGTAGTTTAAGGGACCTCTGGGACCACATCAGGGATACCAACATTTGCAGCATTGGGGTATCAGAAGAGAGAGCAAGGGATTGAAAAACTATTTGAAGAAATAATGGTGGAAAACTTCCCAACCCTGGCTAAGGAAACAGACGTACAATTCCAGGAAGCACAGAGTTGCAAACAAAGAGGCCCACATGAAGACACATCATAATTAAAATGCTAAAGGTTAAAGACAAAGAATCTTAAGAGCAGCTAGTTACCGACAAGGCAGCTCTCACAGGCTCTCAGCTGATTTTTCAACAGCAAATTTGCAGGCCAGAAGGGGTTGGCACAAAATATTCAGAGTGATGAAAGGCAAGGACCTATAACCAAGCTTACTCTACTCAGCAAGGCTATGATTTAGAATCAGAGGGCCAGTAAAGAGCTTCCCAGACAAGACAAAGCCAATGAAGTTCATCACCACCAAGCCAGTATTAAAAGAAATGTGAAAGGGTCTTAAGTAGTAAAGAAAAAATATGAATAAGAAAATATAGGAAAGAAAAATATCTAACCAAACAAAGGCAAACAGTAAAAGCAGTAGGTCAACCAACTATAAAGTTGGTACAAAGGTTAAAAAACAAAAGTAAGATCAGGGGACAACAATAAATTAAGGGATAAACACAAAAGTAAAAAAAAAAAAAGGCAAAAATATAAATATGGGGGATTGAGTGAAAATTGTAGTGATTTTAGAATTTGTTCGAACTTAAGCAACCATTAACTTAAAGTAGACTGCTGTAAACATAGCTTGGTTTGTATGGAGTATGTATGAAGTACATGGTAACCACAGATCAAAAATCTACAAGAGCTCTACAAGAAATAAAGAGGAATCCAAACACAACACCATAGAAAGTCATCAACAAAAGAAGAGAGCAAAAGAATAAAAAGTAATACAACTACAAAAACAATCAGAAAATAAAATGGCAATAACTATATACCTATCAACAGTTACAGTGGAACCTCAGTTCTCAATTCATTCTAGAAGGCTGTTTGAGAAGTGATTTGTTTGAAAACCAAATCATTTTTCCCAGGTGTCAGCATGAAAGGATTGTCAAGTATAGAACCAAAGCTTGGTTCAACAACTGAGACTTTTTTTCCATGAACAACTTGGCTGAGAGCTGAATGGTTCGAGATGGGAAGATGTTCGAGGACCAAGGTTTGACTGTACCTCAATTGTTAATGGACGAAATGCTTCGATCGAAAGACATAGGGTGTCTGAATGGTTAAGAAAATAAGACTCTTACGTATGTTACCTACAAAAGAATCGCTTTAGAACAAAAGATACATACAGACTGAAAGTACAGGTATGGGAAAAGACATTTCATGCAGATGGAAATTTTAAAAAGCTGAGGTAGCAATACTTATATCAGGCAAAATAGACTAAAAAACATGGCTTGTAACCCAGCCAAGGTGTGGCTTGATTGGGCATAATCCTGCAAAGTGAAAGGTCACCAGTTCAATTCCCAGTCAGGGCGCATGCCTGGGTTTGGGGGTGGGTCCCTGGTTGGGGCATGTGCGAGAGGCAGCTTGTCGATGTTTCCTCCTTCCCTCCCCGCTTTCTAAAAATATAAATAAATAAAATCTTAACAAAACAAGGGCTGTGACAAGAGACAAAGAAGGACATTTCATAATGATAAAGGGATCAATGTAACAAGAGGAAGTAACTTGTAAACATCTATGCACCCAACGTAGGAGCACCTAAATATATAAAGTAAATATTGATGGACATAAGAGAGAGATCAATAGTAACACAGTCATTGTAGGCACTTTAACACCCCATTGTCATCAATGGATAGATCTTCCAGACAAAATGAACAAGGAAACATGCCTTAAATGTCACATTAGACCAGAGGGACTTCATTGATGTTTTTAGGATATTTCGCTCAAAAGCAGCTGAATATTCATTCTTTTCAAGTGCACATGGAATGTTTTCCAGGTTAGTCCACATTAGGCCACAAAACAGGCTTCAAAAAATTTAAGATTGAAATAATCAATCACGATGGTATAAACCTAGAACTCATACAATAACAACAAAAACCCAGTCCAATTTAAGAAGGGGGGGGGCCTGAAAAGACACTTCTCTGAAGAGACGGCCAACTGCTATATGAACAGATGCTCACCTTCACTAATCATCAGGGAAATGTGAGTCAAAAACACAATGAGATCTCATCACACACCTGTCAGAATAGGTATCAATATAGCAACACACAACAATTATTGGTAAGGATGTGGAGGAAAGGGAACCCTTGTGCACTGCTGGTGGGATTGAAAATCGGTGCAGCCACTGTAGGAAACGGTATGAAGTTTCCTCAAAAAATTAAAAATAGATGACCTGGCCAGTGTGGCTCCGTTTGCTGGAGGAGCATCCCATAACCGTAGTCAAGTGTCCATCAATAGCTGAACGGGTAAAGATGTGCTAGATAAATGCAGTGGAATACTACTCAGCCATAAAAAAGAATGCAATCTCACCATTTACAACAATGTGGATGGACCTAGAGAGAATTATGCTAAGTGAAGTAATTAGAAAGAAAAAGACAAATACTATATGACTTACATGTGGAGTCTGAAAAACAAAATGAACAGACTCATAGATACAGAGAACAAACTGGTAGCTGCCAGATGGGCGGGAGTAGGAGGCCGGGTGTAAAAGGTGATTGGATTAAGACACAAATTGGCAGTTACACCGTAGTCACGGGGATGGAAAATGCAGCATAGGGAATACAGTCATAATATTGTAATAACTGTACGGTGCCAGGTGGGTACTAGGCTTACCAGAATGATCACTTCCTAAGTTACATAAATCTCTAACCCCTATGCAGTACACCTGAAACTAATACTGTATGTCAACTCTAATTGAAACTTTTAAAAATTTGTTGTTTAAAAAGCAAAAACCCCTAGAGGTGAAAACTCAGCACCAAGCAATTCAAACTATTTTCACATACTGCCAATGGAAGACATGTGCTTTTATTTAAATTTTTCTGCAGTGCTCTTTGGTTTTTCCAAATTAAATCCCAAATTTATGAAGAGTTAAGAGGCTGAACAGCCCAGCAAGGAACAAATACAGGCATTATGCATATTGGTGAATTCAGTCAGCAGAACCAAGGGCAAAGAATTTCATCTGGGCTGTGACTGGTTTGGCCCACTGGGTTGGGCATTGCCCTGCAAACTGAAAGGTCGCTGGTTTGATGCCCAGTCAGGGAACATGCCTGGGTTGCGGGCCAGGTTCCCAGCTGAGGGTGTGTGAGAAGCAACCAATTGGTGTTTCTCACATCGATGTTTCTCTCCCTCACTTCCTCCCTCCCTTCTCCTTTCTCTAAAAGTAAATAAATAAAATCTAAAAAAAAAATCATGTAGGGATTCCCAGGACATTCAAAATTCACCTTTGCTTTTGAATATGACGGGATATCTCTTGACTGGACAGATAAGAGGGAGAGTCAGCCTGAGAATGGTGGAGTAGGAGGTAGGAACAGCTGGCTCTCAGGTGAAAGGCTTTGGTTTATTCAAGGAAGCAGAAACCAAACCACAAAAAGGCTGACTTGAACCTGGGGTCAAAATCTTATCAGCCAGTGCAACAGGCCAGGGAGAGGCAAAAGGGAGTGATGGGAACTGCGACTAAGCAGAGAGGGGCAAGCTTTATGCAGCCCCACCAGCAGGCAATGGAGGCTAGCTGAGTTTTTGAAATTCCAATTCCAGATCAGTATATGCAAGTCCCCAGTTTTAAATGTTGTCACCTGATTGCAGATGGCTCAAACACTGGATGGAGGCAAGCATCTTCTAGCCTCATAAGGCCTGTAGGCCTCCTGTTTGCCACCTTTGCCCTGAACAGACCAGACCTAGCTCTGTAAAAGAGTCACAGGACATCATTCCTCCTCTCCCTTGGGTGCCCGAGAAAAACCTTCCCAAACCTGACACAAAGGGGTCTGCAGCCACTTTGCAACCATCGCCCCCTTCTGACAAAATTTGCAAATATGCTCCCCCATGTATCCATCCGTGCCCTGAGTTAGGAATCACGGTATCTTTTGGGTATCCCCAAAGCTAAGATTTGCTGAGCTTTGCTTTCTGAGGTCTGAAAAATGTTTGTCAGTGTATTTGTTTCCCAAACATGAAATGATCATTGAAAAACATGCACACATCTCGGATGGCTTTACCTTCACATCCCATATGTGGGGCACCCCTCCCCGGGGGGGGGGGGTCAGAGCTAGGATTCCAGCTAAAGCCAGGTGTCCCCACCCATACACCAGCACCCACCGCAACCCTCTCCACGGCTCCCTGTGCTCATTCCCTGGGGTGCACGGCTGAAATAAAAGACTTGTTTCCACTTGGTTCCGGAGGCCATAAGTCTGAGATCAAGGTGTCAGCCAGGCTGGTTCTTCCTGAGGCTGTTCCAGGCCTCTCCCAGCTGCTGGGGTTGCTGGTGATCCTTGGTGTCCCTTGGTTAATAGCACATCCCTCCAGTTTCTGCCTCCTCCTTCACGTGGCATTCTCCTCTGTGTCCAAATTTCTCCCTTTTATAAGCACACCAGTCATACTGGGCAAGGGGCCCACTGTGCTCCACTGTGAGCTCATCTTAACTAGTTACGTCAGCAATGACCCTACTTCCAAATTCAGGTCACTGAGGGTTAGGACTTCAACAAAGGAATTGGGGGGGCAGCACTGCTCACCCCATAACACTTCCTTTCTTCCAGTTCAGTATGACTCATTGTGGGGTTTTTTTTTTCCTTGCCTTAAGAGAGAGAGGAAGGGAGAGAGAAACATCGATGTGAGGGAGAAACATTGATTAGTTGCCTCCCATAAGTGCTTAGACCCGGGATTGTACACATCCAGACTGGGAATCGAACCTGCAACTGAGCCAGACCGGCCAGGGCAGGGTGACTCCTTTCTGAACAAATTAAAAAGCCCAGGTTACAACATTAAGTGGGCAGCACCAGCCTTCAGATGACATCCAGTGACTCAGGGGGTGCCCTCTGGCTACTGCTGTCCAGGACAGGTGGGCCCGAGCAGCCCCGCAGTGCGTGGGCAGGCTGCTGGCCCGGGAGGCCGTGCTGGCTTCCATGCTGAATTCCCCTCCCCAGCAAGATTAGGTGGGGGAGGTGACATGGGTCCTTAAAACTGCTGCTGTAAATGGTTTAACATCCTCAGAGAGGGGACGGGCCATCTGTCCAGGGAGTTTGGCTAGAATCAGACTGGGGATAAAAGAGGTGATTTAAAAAAAAAAAAAAAAAAAGACACCTCACAAATCCCCAACCCCCAGCAAGAAAGCTGTAGACAGGGGTCAGATGTTGTCCTCGTCCAGCATCCTGGTGAGCCCGTCACAGATCCGGCGCAGGTGGGAGCAGTAGGGCTCCGCCGGGCCGTAGAGCGCGGCCAGGAAGTCGCAGTTGGCAAAGTGGCCAAAGACATGGTTGATGCGGCCGTGGGACTTGGCGGTCAGGTGTGGGCCCACGGCCTGGTGCAGCAAGTCCCGGCACTCGAGGAGGGCAGTGGCCAGCACACGCCTGTCAAAGGTGAAGTCCACCTGGTGGAAACTGATGGCCATCATGGCCAGGCGGCGCGCCCTCTGGCGGAAGCGCTGCAGGAGCGCCAGCTCCTCCCCGCCGAGCTGGCCACTACGGAGCAGGATGCCCAGCTTCACAGCCACCTTGACCAGGTTCTTGAGCACCTTCTGAGCCTCCTTGCGGCTGCGGGTGAACTCCTTGGTGGCGCGGTACAGCTCATCCAGCACCTCGCTGCTCGTGTCGTCAATAAACACAGACACTGTGGCCTTGGATGCCACTTTGCTCAGGAGCTTTTTCTGGGCCTGCAGAGCCAGGCTCTTGGTGCTGAAGGTGTCCATCGGCCCTGGCCAGGGGAAAGACAGACCCAGCATCAGTTCCCACGGCCCTGGGCCACAGGGGCATGCCTGGGTAGGCCACTTTCGTTTGCTTCCACTATCTTCCCAAGGTCTTGCCTCTTCCCTCGTGAACTCTTTACATTCCCCCCAACCCTGGCCCCTTAGTCCCTGCCCCTTTCCTGATGGACTCACACACATCCCCTATACCCTGGCCCCCAAGCTCCGGCCTCATCCTCTTGCAGATTCATCCCTCAGCTTAGCCGGGACACTACCTCCTCCAGAAAGCCGTCCCTGAACAGTCAAACTGATGGTGAGGCACCTTCTCTGGGCCACACAGCACCCCAAGTCCCCCCATCACTCCTCTGCTCCCCCCAGCTTTGCTCCCCTGCTCCCTGCCTCTTCCCGGGCCACAGCAGAGGCCACAGGCCTGATTCCTTATCCACCGCATCCTTGGAGGCTCTAGAAGCATCTGTGGAATGAATGAGGGGAGCCTGAGACCCACCCCCAGGCCCTGGTCAGAATCCATCCCGGCTAGGGCCCCAGGCCGGCCAGACCAGGAACGTCATGTGGGTACCCACTCACACCCAGAGGTTCCCACAAAGCCCATCTTTGTGGGAGCTCAGGCCCTGGAAGAGGTCCCAACCCTCAGCCGCCATTTTAGAGGTTAGGGCGGGCACAGGCATTACTGGAACAGCTTCCCCGCCCCTACACCACCCACCGGACCTCGGGGCCACATAGGCCGGGGCCAGAGCCAGGGCACTGTTGACTCAGCACCATGTGGCAGGCCCTGAGCTGGCGGCATGTGCCCATTTTGTCATTTCCACCAGGTATTGGGCAGGTGGCCCATTTTGCAAAAGAAAACACAGAGGCCGAGCCACTTCCCCAAGGCCACACAAGAAGACAGTGACTGCCTGCCCCCAATGCCTCTTCACATCTAACCCCTCGTCTTTCCCATCTGACACCTGCAAGTCACCCCAAGTCTTAGACGGTCAGGAGCTGTCCCCCATGATAAAACCAGGCCCAATATTCAGGGCCTGCTCCTGGCTCTGACCACTAGGTCAAGAAACATAACTGCCCTGTGCCTCAGTTTCCCCATATATAAAATGGGGAAGACCAGAGGTAACTGCCCTGGGGCAGAAGCTTGTGGCCAACCCCAATGCCCACCAGGCCGTGACTGTCCCCCGGGTGCCACCGCCCGGGATTCCGCCATTTAAGCGCTAAGCCATCCAACAACCTAGACATGGAGTCAGCAGCAGACTCACCACCTGACACAAGTTCCTCTGGCTCCTGAATGCTCACCCACCAGTTTCTCTAGAACATTCTATCCCATTCCCTTTACCTAGATCCCTCCTCCCATTACTCATCTTATAAACTTCTACTCATCCTTCAAGTATCAGCATCACCATCACCTATTCCCGGAAGCCTTCCCAGAAGTCCCAACCTGGGCCAGGTGCCCCTGAGCTCCCACAGCGCCCTGGGCGTCCTCTGCTGTGGCCTCAGGCACCTTGGTTCCCATGTCCATCTCCCTGGCCCAGTGGCACGTTTAGGGGCTGTGTCTCCTAGCCCAAGGCCTGACACACAGCAGTGGCCCATAGCGTCCGTTGAATGTGTAAGGGAAAGCATGTCTGCAAACACTGGAAACAAGAGGGTTCTCCCACAGCCCTGGGTCCAGTCTCCCCAGTTTACAGATGGGCAAACTTGAGGTTCAGAGAGGAACTTTCCCTGAGTCCAGGGGCCCCGGAGCCCAGCTCTTTCTGCCCGTCTTGGTCACCATGTGAACCTCAGCAAATCCTTCCCCTCTGCAGGTCCTGAGGTTGGGCATGTTGGCTCTGGAGGGGAGCTGAGCCATTCACATCCTTAGGAGGGCCTGGGCCCCCAGCAGCAGCCCCCCTCCAAGCCCAGAAGGAAAAGAGGAGGGAGCGGAGGCAGCTGCAGACTCCCTTCCCAGCCTCCACACCCCTAGCCCCGCCGGCCAGTCTCCAGACCTGCCTGCCACACCTGGGTGAGCCCAGCTGCATGACCCCTCCTCCCTGACCCATTGTTCCTCCAGAAACACCCCCATTCAAGCAGCCAGAGCGCTGACTGCTCTCCCAGGGGAGCAGGCCTTGGACCAAAATAAACCCTGGCCTTCCTTCCTGCCTGCTGTGCTCACCCAGGTCCGAGGGCCAACAAGCCAGGAGACGGCCAGCCTGCGCCATGCCGGCCCTTCTGTGTCAGCCTTCCCAGGGACTGCCCAGAGAGTCGGGGGCCAGATGGCTAGTGTCCCTGGCCCCTGCCCACCAAATGCCAGAACACCCCACGGTCATTACGACCAAACGAGGCCCACTAAAGAGTTACAGGCTGTGCCAGAATATTCATTCAGTTGCTCAGTGAGCATTTATGGACCACCAGCTGTGTACCAGGCACTGGGAATACAACAATGACCAAAAGATATCTGGTCCCTGCTTTCTTGGGGATCCCTCCCCTCCAGATCCTATGCCTCTTATTGCAAAATAATTTGGGCACTCCAGCGCTACCCGGAAATGGAGTCCGCGGGCACTACCACCTATCTCTACCCACCACTTTAAAAGTTAGTAGATGGTGATAAAGGCCACCATCTGTGGGGATAGACGGGATGGGAACTGGAATGTTCCATGTTCTGTTCAATCTGGGTCCACACGAATATCAAATGCCATTGGGCTAGATAGCTGCTAGATATCTCTGCGAATATACTGCAAACTAGTGAAATGTACACCTTTAACATAAATTCACCTTTAAAAGGTGAATTTTATGTAATGTGAATTATATCTAAATAAAAGAATATCTAACATTCTCCAAAGAAGATATACAAATGGCCAATAAACAGCTGAAAGATGGTCCACATCATTGGCCTCTAATTAAATGCAAGTCAAAATCATAATGCTGTATCACCTCACCCCCTGCTAGGACAGCTCTTATCAAAAAGACAGACAATATCAAATGCTGATGGGGATGTGGGAAAACTGGAACCATCACACATGGATGGTATGATGAATGGAAAATGGGGCAGCTGTTTTTGGCAGTTCCTCCATCACAGAGTCACCAGGTGACCCAGCAATTCCACTCATAAACATCTACCCAAAAGAAATGAAAACACACATCCACACAAAACCCTCATATACACATGCTTAGAGCAGCATGATTCATGGCCAAAAAGGAGAAACAACTCCAATAGCCATCAACAAATGAGTAAACAAAATGTGGTCTATACACTGGAATATTACTCAGTCATGAAAAGGAGTGAAGCTCTAACACAGGGTACGATGTGGATGGACCTTGAAACCACGACGTTTAGTGAGAGAAGCCAGACACAATAGATCACATAGACCCCTGCTGGTGTGGCTCAGTGGATTAAGTGCCAGTCTGAGAACCAAAGCATCACTGTTTCAATTCCCAGTCAGGGCACAAGCCTGGGCTGTGGGCCAGGTCCCCAGTGGGGGGCACATGAGAGGCAACCACACATCGATGTTTCTCTCCTTCTTTTTCTCCCTCCCTTCCCCTCTCTCTAAAAATAAATACAATCATTTTTTAAAAAATCATACAATGTGATTCCATTTATGTGAAATGTCCAGAACAGGCAAATCCACAGACACAGAGAGTGGGTTGCCAGGGGCTGGAGGAAGGGGAAGGGGGTGACTGATGATGGGGGCAGGGCTTCCTTTTGGAGTGTTGGAATGTTCTGGAATTTGAATACTTTAACGTAGTGAGTTTATATCTCATCAAGCAGAACTTCTAATTTTTTAAAAAATATGTTTATTGATTTTAGAGAGGGAGAAAGGGAGAGAGAGAAACATACAACCTAGGTATGTGCCTGACCAGGAATAAAACCCCCAACTTTTTGGTGTATGGGATGACATTCCAACCAACTGAGCCACACCAGCCAGGGCTTACCGTTAAATGTAATTTGTTGGAGGGTCGTCCTGCTATGCCAAGGTTGCGGGTTCGATCCCTGGTCAGAGCACATACAAGAATCATCCAATGAATGCATCAATAAGTGGAACAACGAATCCATGTCTCCCTATCTCTCAAAAAAAAAAAAATTAAGGGTATATACTTATACCTCTGTGTTCCTTACTACATATGTTTTAGACCTCATTTTTATAATGTTAAATGAATTTAAAATTTTTAAAACAGGATTTGGTCCAAACTGTAATACAAACAGAAAATAAAAGGATTTCACAGGTTGAGATTTATAAATCACTTCCGCATTGACAGGCACTCAGTCAGTACTCAAGACATGCTTAATTAAAAAGAATTTCCCTCAAAAGCTCACGCTCCCGGCCCTTGAGGATGAAGCGAATGTATCAGAGCTTTGCCCATGTGGTAAACATATACCTATAAAATCCTGTCAAAAAAGAGCTCCATCTCCCTCCGATTTACCCAAGAATATTCACTGAATATTAAAACAGTACAAAACACAAAACAAAAAAACAACCCACTCATCAGCATGTTTTTGGCAGGACATGAGGAAGCGGTGACGCCCAGTGCTGCCCTGAATGCGGCTGGACACCTAGTGTCCCTGGTCCCTGCCCTCAAACACCAGAACATCCTGCTATTTCAGAAGCAAATAAAATAGCATCCCTCCAAATTTCCAACATGGCCCCTAAGAGATGTCCCCCACATCCACACTGGAAGGAGGTGCCAGGCACCGATGAACATGGAAATAAACAGGATCATTTCAGGAGAGGTAGGAGCCATGGGGGCAGGGAGGGGGTGACAGCCGGGAACAGGCACGTGACGTGGGCTGGGGTGGTCAGGAAGGCTTCTCTGAGGTGGAGCTCCTGCAGCTGAGACTGTAAGGACAGGTCTGGGGGAGGCTGGGCCAGGCAGAGGGACCGCCTGTACAAAGGCCCTGGGGCAGGACCACGCCTGATGTGCTGGCAGAGCAGCAAGAAGGCCACTGTCCATACCCTCCCATGGTGGCCATGGACAAGCCCGACGCCCCTAGGGGCAGCTTTCCCATCTGAGAAACGGGTGTCCAGGCACCGAGGGGCTCTGTCGACCCCTGCCCTGCCGCGCACGCTCCTCCCCAGAACGCTGGAGCCCGGTCCACACCTCGGGCTTCTGCCCTCCGCCAACCGCATTCTGTGTTTTAGACTCCAACCTTTGCCCCCATTCCCATTTTGGACACTCCAACTCCCACAATTCCTGGGCGTCACCCCCCCATTTCCCTCTTCTTCCAGCTGCAGGCAACCACAAATCCACTTCCTATCTCTGGAGATGTGCCCGTTCCAGACGTTTCACAGAAATGGAATGACACGCTGTGGGGCCTTTGTTGTCTGGCTTCTCTCACTGAGCGTCATGGTCTCAAGGTCCATCCCCATAGCAAGTGTCAGTGCTTCCCTCCTTTTTATGGCTGAATAATATTCCATACCTTTGCTTCAAATATAATGTGTTTAACTGTAAGGGCATAGTATCATTTTTAATAACAAAATCATTAAACGGTAAAATTCCTGAAAATCCAGCAAGTGGCTCTTGTGAGCTGGGTGAGACAGCTTCAGCATGCCACTGGTCCACAGGCAGCCTGCCCCCAGCCCCCACCACATAAATTCTTCATGCCCCACACAAAGGGTGTCAATAATTGATGGGCCCGCTCAGCAGGTCGAAGCCAGCCACTCCTCTCCTCTCTCAGTCCTTGCTGCAATGGCCCAGGATGGCCTCAGGGGGCCCCAGGCCTCTGCCCACGTTGGCAAATGACCCCACAGTCCTTGTTCCCACACAAAATCAGACACCCACTCCACTGAGACCTTTACTGACCATCACTCACACTGCTCGGTCAGTGTACATTTTAGATATGGCCGAAGGGAGAGGGGAATCTGCTTGCCTGAGTTTGGGGAGACACCAGTGGCTACCAAACTGGGTTTCCCTGAGTCTTTGGGGGCCACTCCGTGGATGGGCAGGGTCTGGCCACCTGCCAGGCTGCAGTGGGAGCTAGGACACTTTTAACTGTGGTCAGACTGAAGAAAGAGTTTGGGGGCCAAACATGAATGTTGGGAGACCACTGTCAAGCCCCAGGCAGGGAGGGACAGGACAGGACAGGCAGGGGCTCAGGCTGAGCAAAAGACACTCAACAGCAAGCGGAAACTTCAGGGTCACATGGCAGGAACGTGGATGCAGCCCCTAAATGAGTCCTGGCTCCACCTAGTTCTCACCTATACGCTCCTCAGCCCTGGTCCCCTGGTGCCCCATGCTGTCCTCCCTGCAGCAGCCACCAGAGGGTGCATGTGAGCACATAATTCAGGTCCCATCCCTCTGTTACTCACTCCTCCCCCTGGGTAAAGGGCACAAGCCCTCCCAGAGGCTCACAGGGCCCTGCACAACTTGCCCCCATCCCCTCCTTGCCTTCACCTCCTCTCTCTCTCCCCCTCGCTCACTTTGCTTCAGCCACAAGGGCCTCCTCCCTGTTCTGCCCACACATCAGGCAATGTCCTGCCCCAGGGCCATTGCACGGTCTGTTCCCGCCACCTGGAATGTCCTGCCTCCTCCTCCCAGGTCTCTGCATGGCTATTTCTTTCTTGTCATTCAGGGCTTAGATCAAATGTCACCCCCTCGGGAGGCCCTCTCAGAACCCCCAACTAAACTAACTTCCCCATCCATCTGACTCTCCATTATCTTTAGGCAGTTGCAAATAAGTGTAATGATTTTTCTGGATGAAAGTACACTTCTTCCAACCCCCAAGCTTGGCTCACAGCAGGTGCTCAGAACCTGTTTGTTGAATGAATAAATGACCTCTCAGAGGGTCACAGAGATCTCATTTAAGGTCTCCACTGTTCAGCCAGGAAAACTGAGACCCAGAGAGACAGAGCTACCACAAGGTTACATAGTAACACAGCACAAGCCCCTCTGGAGGGGGGCTCCCCCAGGTGGAAGGTCCCCAACGTCCACCACCCCAGTGGACATAAGGAGAAACTGAGGCCTAAAGGACGAGGCCTTAGAAGATCTCAAACAATCAGGCAGACGTCCCTTCATCAAAGCTCACGAGGATGGGATTCCAGGGGAGGTCATTTCACGGACAGATGTAGGGGGATCCCAAAGAAGGTGTGCACAGTGTGGAACTGGGCCTAGTCCTGCCAGCTCCAGGCGCCTACCTCTCCGAGTGGGAACCCAGACACACGTGGGTCATTATTCGGCATCTGACCCTGAGTGAGGCTGTTTTCATGCCAACAACTGGAGTTTTTCCTATGCACACTACTGTGGCCCCATTTGACAGACAGGGACACTGAGACCTCCTAAATCCACCTAGTCAGACCGCCAAGCAACCAAAAGTCCCCTTACCTGCCCAGGCCTCAGATGAGAATACTGAGGCTCTGGGCCTCAGACATGCCCAAGGTCACACAGCAGAAGAGGACACCAAAGGGCCTCAAATCTGCACCTGCCTGCCCGATTTCTTCTTAGGGACCCCCCTGTCCTGCTCTCCATCTGGGTGGGGTTTGAGACCCCAAGGGTCTGGGCACTCACCCACCACCAGTGTCCCAGGCCACGGGGCCTGCCAAGTAAGAGAAGCACAGCCAAGGTGTTTGTGTGGCTGGGGCTCCAGCTCTTTGTTCCGGTTTCCATAGGTACAGCGTCCTGGGCAGGCCCCTCCTCCACCCCTCCCAGCTGCCCAGCCCTTGCCTGGCAGTTCTTTGGCCCAGCCCATCTAGGCAACTTGTTATGTTTTAAAGTTGACATCCTGGACCTAGCCCAGCAGTGGAGGAAACAACCTGTGCAAAGGCCCAGAGGCAATATCATGCCACGCGTGTGACTGTGGAGGCTGGTGTGGCTGGAGTGGAGTGAGCTGTGAGCGAGAGGGGGAGTAGGAGGAGATGCAAGCCAGAGACATGCAGGACCCACATTCCTGCATTTAACCTGGAAGCAGCACTCACCCCCAGGGATCCTCCTGTTATACAGATAGGAAACTGAGGCTGGGAGAATCGAATCATCTGTTCAAGGTACTATGGTGAGTGGCGAAGTGGGAACGCAGGTTTGTCAAATTCCAAGATCTGAACTCCCCAGCCATTTGGTAAACTGCTCTCACCCATCAGCAGCCCCTTGGGGTCTTCACCTCCCTCAGCTGGGCTCAGATATACTCAGGAGGTAACCATGAAGGCCTGTTCACACCTGGGGCTGCCCCTCCTCCAGGAGCTCCGGCCCCCAGGATAAAGGAGGTGGTGATGCCCGCAATCTGAGTCAGGGCACCTGCCAATTACCTCAGCGGGTGACAGTCCCAGTTCTCAGCTGGCAAAACTGAGGCCAAGGCTTCAGGCCACTGGGGAGCGCCTCGGTGGCCAGCCTGGGTGGGCCTGGCCTTGGCTATCCCAGCAGCCTGGACCTGCTGGAAGCCACACTCATTTCCACCTCCATGCCTTTGGCAGGGCTGCCCACCACCTGGAATGCCCTTCCGACTCTGGAATGTGGCCCTAGCACCTGGCGCCTGCACGGTGAAAGGGGCAGAGTACATCAGAGTCCCCATGGGGCGGGAAGGGGCGGGGGGGTCGCTGGCCCCAGAACACTGCCCCGTATCCAGGGGTGCAGTTCAGGCCTTCTGTGCCTTCCCCTAAGCCATACAGCAAGAGAGTATCAGAGGCAGAGGAAAAGGGAGAAAAGAAGAAAGGGAGAAACTCAGGCAGGAATACAGACGACAGGGAAGGGGGGTTTGCAGGCGCATGGGGGAGCGGGAGAGATAGACAGAGGGCGGCCAGTGGTCCCCGAAACGCACCGAGATGGGGGACGCCCCGGTATCGCTCTCACCTGGTCTTTGGGGCCCGTCGCGGGTCCGACCACCTGGATTCCGCCCCGCAACCTCCAAGGGATCGCGGCACTCGCACTTGATAACCACGCGGGGCGGGGCGGGAAGCTCTGCCCGCCCTTCCATCGCTCCGCCCCCGCCCTGCCCCGCCCGCTTCGAAGGAGCGGGGAGGCGGGAGGAGGAGGGGATGGGCCAATAGCGGGGGGCCTAGCCAATGGCAGTGCGGGCAACGTACGAAGAAGCCAATAGGAGCAGGTCACCTCCGCGAGGGGGGCGGGGCCCAGGGCGGGGCCAGGAGGCTCGGGGGATTCCTCCGGAATCGCACCAGTAGCCGGATGCTGGGGGTGCAGGGGGCCGGGGCCCGTCCGAAGAAAGGGGAGGAAGGGGACAGTGTGAAAAATAGAGAGAGACCCGGGGGAAGAGAGGAAGACACAGAGAGCCATAAGGAAAACAGATCGACCGTTCTGGACAGGCCCCTTCCTCTCCCTGGGATTCAGTTTACCCATCAGGGTAATAGCAGTTTGGGTAGAAGCTAGTTTCTTAAAGGACAGAAAAATCACCTGGGAGCCCCTTTAAAAATGCAGATTCCGGTATCCCCAGACAGGCTGAATCTGACCCAGAGTTGAAGATCAATAGTTCTGGGTTGCTGATAAATTCTCAGGGTGAGGTTTGAGGCAGTCTCTGGGTGAACAGGACCTGGAGACCCCGCCGGGAGACTCCCAGATCCAGCCTGTGTTTCCGTGGGAATGAGCCTCCTGGCCGCCAGCGGGTGGGGCGGTGGGGCCAGCTGGGGCACCCCCCGCCCCCAGAGGATGCAGCTGTGAGTTCTGGGAACTGGGCCCAGGAGCAGCTCCCAGCTCCTCTGCTGCTCCTGTTTCCTCCCTGCAGCCCCAACCCAGGGTCCCAGTTGCTGCTAGAGCCAGGAGAGGCCAGGGCAGGCCAGACAACAAATGTTTGGTGACTGCCTAGTCCTGTACTGCACATGGAGGTCACACAAGCCTGACTCAGACCTCATGGGGCCCAAATAAATGAAATGTCTCTTTACCCCATTTTGGAGGGGGAAATTGAGGCCCAGAGAGGGTAAGTGAATTGCCTGAGGACATGCAGACACAAGTTGCAGGGCCACAATCCAAAACCCAGGACTGCTGGTCCCACCTCATCCCACCCACAGCTAGATCCTACTCGCTCTTTAGTCCAGGGTTTCTCATCCTCAGCATATTGACATTTGGAGCCAGTAATTCCTGCTTGTGGTAGTGGGGAGCAGTGCTTAGCACTATGGTATGGTCAAGCAGCATCCCTGGCTTTCACCCACTCAGTGCCAAAGTAGCCCCACCAGGTTGACAACCAAAAATATCTCTAGTCATTGCCAAGTGTTCCCTAGGAGCAGAATAGCCCTGGGTTGAGACCTAGATCTATCTCTTCATGTCTCTGAGCCCCAAATTATGGAGACCGATTCTTTGGATCAGGGTAGCTAACACGGCAGAGGGAGCTGTTTTGGGCACCTTATCAAACCACAGCAGATTGTTTCAATGGGTGCCGTGTGGGCTTGGGCATGTGTGGAGTGTGACTGAGGTGGGTTCAATTCAATGCCAACATGTGTTCACCTTTTCAAGACTCAGTTTTCCACATCTGTGACATAAGAATAATAAAGCCACCCTGGCTGGTGTGGCTCAGTGAATGGAGTGCTGGCCTGCAAACAGAAAGGTCACGACTTAGATACCCAGTCAAGGCACTTGCCTGGGTCATGGACCAGGTCCCCATCTGGGGGCATGTGAGAGGCAACTGTATCTCTCACACATTGATGTTTTTCTCCCTCTCTTTCTCCTTCCCTTCCCCTCTCTCTAAAAATAAATGAAATCTTTAAGAAAAAGAATAATAAAGTCTACAGGTCCACAAATAAGACAACAAATAAAAAATGCTCACAAGGACGTGAAGAAATTAGAACCTTTGAACATTGGTGGTGGAGCTATACAACAGTGAAGCTTCTGTGGAAAAGTTAGGCAGTTCCTCAAAAATTTAATCATAGAATCCCCATATGACTGAGCCATTCCACTTGTAGGTTTCTACCCAATGAAATTGAAAGCAGGGACTCAGTGTTCGTAGCAGTGTTATTCACAATAGTCAAAAGGTGGAAGCCACCTGTGTCCATCAACAGATGATGGATAAATACAATGTGGTCCATACATGCAATGGAATATTATTCGGCCTTAAGAAAAAAGAAAATTCTGACATCTGTTATAACATGGATGAAACTTGAGGACATTGTTGAGTGAAATAAGCCAGACACAAAAGGACAAATACTGTGTGATTCCACTCGCATGAGGCTCCTAGAGGAGTCAGATCCGCAGAGACAGGAAGTAGATGGTGGGAGCCAGGGGCTGGGGGAGGGGGAGTTACTGTCTAATGGGGACAGAGTGTCAGTTTGGGAAGATGAGAAAGTTCTGGAGATGGATGGTAGTGACAATTATACAACAACATGAATGTATTTAATGCCACTGAACTATATACTTAAAAATAGTTAAAGTGGTAAACATTATGTTAAATATTTACCACAATTTTAGAAATGAATGATTATGTCAAAACACTGAATTGTATGTATACTTTAGATGGGCGAATTGAATGGTGTATGAATTATGTTGCAATAAAACTGTTTTTTGGGGTTTTTTTTAGAAAGTGCCCAGCAGCACATCTGGTAGTAATAACAACAATAGTATAGCTAATATTTATTGAGCACCTATTATGTGGCAGTCACTATTAGCAATTTAAATAAATTAACTCATTGAATCCTCAAAGCAACCCTGCCAGGGGCTACAACTGTTTCATTTCACAGATGATGAGACTGAGGCTCAGAGGAAGCAAGTGACTTGTCCCAGGCCACACTGCCAGGTTGGTATTAGAATCTGGGACCGTGTGCTTTGGGTATCATATGTACAGCTCTTCTGAGTCTCCTGGACATCCTTGGGGTTGCCACAGCTGGCCAGGGGGCTGGCTGATGGTGCTCCTGAGTCTAGCGAAGAACAGACCAGGGGCTCTACCCGGGGCCAGAGGCTCAGCTCAGAACTGGGGTTCAGGTCGGTTCTCTGGATAGTAGCTGTGCCGATTCCGGCCACGCGCAGCAGGGGGCGTGCGTTGCCCACAGCCAGTCCAGCAGCTCCTTCTCTCTCCCTGAAATGGGTGCTGGAGCACGCGGGATCTGAGTGCGGAGAAGGGTCGCATGTCCAAGTCACCCCAGGCCCTAGACCCATCCAGCTCGCACCTCAAAATCAGGCCTTGCATTCTGCCGGGCTGTGTAACCCAAACAAAGCGATCCCTTTTCTGGGCCTCTGGCTAGTCCCTAGGCAATGGTACCTTAGCGGTGCGGGGGCGGGCGGGGGGGAGGGAGAGGGGGCGGCAGTTGCGGAGGGGCAGAGGTTTCTCCAGGAGCCTCCGGGAATCCCGTGACTGGGGGTTTCCCCACTGCCTGGGGGTTTCCCCACTGCCTAGGTGCTTCGAAGAACCAGTTGTGGCGATGACCATAATACCCCGCGCCATGCCGCAAGTCCCACAATCCATCTGTCCCCAGCCTCTCTTGTCTGTGGGGCGAGACCCTTCCCAAGGTGGACAGACTCCTAGAGGGACAGGGTGAAGGGTGTCGAACCTTGCTGGAACCCCTACCTTGGGCCACTTGGGCCAGGGCAGGAGGTCTCACAGGACTTTCCTAAGGGCACTGAGGTTGGTAGGGGCTGTTATCATCCCTGAGGTCACTGGCTCAACCTGAGGTCAGGGTCACAGGGCCCAGGGGACCCCTCTCCTCCCCTCCTCTGACAGGAAGGCAGAAGAAAGGTGGGGTGGGAAGGTCCTAAAACAACTTCAGTCCTTTGCCTGCTGAGCTGAGGGGCGAGTTGGCCTCAGGAGGAGGATGCATCTACAGCTGTCAGCGGCACAGCCGCCGGCGGGCTGCCGGCGTGTGGGAGGTGGACACTGCAGGGATACACTCCAGCTGTGGGCCTGTGTGCAGGCGTGTATGTGGGGTGTGTGTGGTCGGGGAAGGGGTGGTCCCAGCTGCTGTAGCCTCTGCTGGTAGGGAGCCCCGCATCACCCCTGGCAGGAGGAAACTTCCCTTTTTTGGAGCCTCAGGTCCATTGACTGGAAAACAGGCGCAGTCACAGCACCAGATTCAGAAGTTTGTAAAACTCTGAGGACACAGTGGCTCAGAGCAGACCTGACACACACACGCAGGCGGCCACGTCAGGGCTGCCGTGGGGAACACCCGGGCAGCTGTGGGAGCCCAGACTAGTCACCTGACCCCGCCTGGGGACCCAGGGAGGCATCCAGGGGGAGGTGACAACTGAGCTAAAACTTTAAGAGCAGGAGTCAACATGGGAAGAAGCAGAAAGGAGCGCCCTTTCTAATCTCGGCCTGCCAACCTTGGTCCAATCATAAGACCACTCTGAGCCTGTTTCCTTATCGTTCATGATATCCACCTTGTGGGACAGTTGCAAAGACTGGCTGAGAGGATTCAGGAGGGTCCTTAACCCAGTGTGAGTGAGTGCCCAACATGGAGACTGGTTATTATAATTTTGGGGTTTTGCCTCCTGCCCCTGGGAGCCCCTAGGCCATGGGAAGGAGGCACAAGGATTCTGTGAAAGGAACGAAGTGTTGAGTAAAAGGCACACTAGGTGAGAGCAAGGGGGCAGAGGTTAGGAAGCTCTGGGGACTGACAGGGAACAGGGTGTCCTGATCAGACCACAGGAACCCTCAGGGCATCGAAGGCTGGATATGAAATTCCACATTTCATCCTGAGGCAATGGGGAGCCATGGAGTGTGTCAGAGCCAGGAGAAGGTTAGGGTATTTGGAAAAGCCCTCTGGGGCAGCGTGCGGCAGACAGCAGGAGGCAGCACTGAGCCTGACAGATCAGCGAGGGGGGTGGGGACCGCGGATGCCCTGCGGTTGCATGTGGTGGGTAAAAGAGAAGCCACTGGGGACCCTGAGCAGGGTAGATGCAGGCAGAGCCAGAGTGCGGGGACCCGGCTGAGCTGCCTTTTCCTGGGGGAGATAGTTGGTGTGGGGGTCGTTGGGGGGTCACTGATACGGCGCAGAATCCAAA